TAATTTGCAAATATTACAATCTTGAAATATTTCCTTTCTTTTTTTCGAAGCAAGAAAAAACCCCTGAATTTTTGGTTTTTCTCTGACTGAAAATGTAAATCTGAAAGTGTTTCCAATTCATTTTATTACTCAGCATTTATTTTTTAGTGTACCAAATTCGTTGCAGACGTTGGAACAGCAATAAATTCAATAATTAAATCGGCTGCAGGTCGACCATTAAATGTTCAATGGAAAAGTACGCCACAAAACAACAGACAGAAGACCCTGCTGATAAGGCAGAAACTAATGGTAGAAATGGGGGTTCGTTCGTACTCGGAGATTGGGGAATGGAAATGGGAATTTAGACCCGTGCCTAGGAAAGCATATCTCACATTTGACTCACTTTCACACAAACAAACGAAAGGCAACAAACAAAAGCAAACAAACACGAGGCCGGCGAACGTGGAAACTTGGAAACTCGGCAAATACTAATGCCGAACAAATACAGTACAAACACGGCCTGCAACCACATGGGAAATGTAGGTGAGGGCACAGTAAACATTGCCTGCAACCGATATTTTTGGGTTGCCCAAGAGCAGCTTATCTCTTTTTTTGTGTGGGTAAGCATTTATTTACAGCACTCATTCAAATAATGGTGGTTAGCCACAAAGTATTTAAAAATAGAAGAATTAAAGTACTATAGAATTCACGCACAACTAGGTAAAGAGTAGAAAAATCCGTCCTATTATTAGAAATATAAGTATATAAATAATTTCTGAACCAGTTTTACAATTTACTTCTGACCAAATTGTTTGAAATATAAAACATTTTAAGAATAATATTTGGAAAAAAAACAGTTTGAGTAATATGAAGTTTGGTAATTCGGAAGTTATTGGCAATTAAAATCCATTTTTGGGCTTAAAATCTCAACCTTGGCTGTGAGTTCATCGCAGCGTGCAAGTCGAAGTGATTATAAAAGGGCCGCACTTTTTCCATATCTTTTGAGCTCGGTATTTTAGTACCGCTGATGTGACACCCCACACAAACACACACACCCATACACCCACAGCTGTTAAGACTCGTAACTGATTAACTAATTGAAAAATTTGTTTTGCATTTGTTTTTGCCCATTTTCCGCTTCTGTCTTCTCTTTTACTAATGAAAATGGAAATGGGAAGAAAAATTAGTCGGTAGCGCATAAATTTACGTACATACATGCGGTTGCGACGCCGCCCTAACGGTAAAAAACATTTGTAATTGCAATTTGCTGCGGAGAGTCAAGTGTCAGCTGTTTGCTCCCCCATCCACATTCCTCTCCCACTCCAAAATATATATCTATCTCTTTCCACCCCCCTCTCATTCTTGAGCACGCAATATGGCGTCATGCCTTTGGCATCTCGCTCGCACACACACTGAGAAGAAAACCATGTGTGGTCGAAATAAATGCGACAATTAAAATAAGTGAGCTACAAAGTGAGGCTTTGGCTTTAGCGACCATTGCAAATTGTTGTAAATTACAGTGTGGATAAAGAGAATTAGAGGGAAAACGAATTCTAGGTCAGTGGTGGAAATGAGCTCATGTGCCATACAGTGGTCACTAGTTAAGGGGAACCATGAATTAAATTCTTGGACCAACCTATATTTAATTTTAAGCTTTTTTAGCAGATATTTCTCTTATAGACCAATTACCATGACGATTTCTGCCCACCATTAGCATAAATACAATTTACTATTTAAATTTTATTCCATCAGCTTTTATTTGCAGTCTGCATATAAAAACAATCGGTTTAAGTGTAAAAGTGTAGTTTATTATTATTAACAAAATTTATATTATTTGCCAGGTTGTGCTGTGCGACCATCTTCATAAAATTCATTCATTATATCCTGAACCAGTGTTGTCCATATGGTTTTGAGGGACTTAAATGTGTATACCAGTGAACACCAGAGATGCCAATTCTTGAGTAATTGATTTTTAAACTAAGGAAATTCAGTTACTTTCAATTTAAATAAGTTACAATCTTAGTTACCATTCTTTGAGAACCATGTGTGTGTTACGATTTCATTTCATTGTGTGTAAATCAAGTGCCACCTGTCCTTTAAGTGTGGAAAACTAAAATCCTGAAGGCTTATTTATTACAATGGCTATAACTATGGGCTATAGATGAAACATCTTACCGAGTCGTATCGGAATTGCATCGAATTATATTATTATGTATTGTATTGTAATGTACTGTATTGTATTGTATTGTACTGCATTGTGATGGAAGAACCGCCGTGTTAAATATGACTTATAAATTGTTTCACTTTTTTCTTAAAACTAGCCGAAAAACGTTCATTTTGTAGGTTAACCGAAAAAAACCGAGAATTTGGAGCTCAGTTCTGGAGATGTTGCTTGTTCGGGCTCCAGGAATAAACTGAATAATATTAACCCAGTCACAGTCAGGTAGGAATTCGATTGACAGTTAAAAGCCACAGCCTACTTGATTAATTTATTTGTAACAAGTTAGCTTTGAGTTCCTAATATCGGTTTTAGGTCGTCTACTATGACTTATTGGTTTTAGTGTATAATTTTTTTTTTAATTTCAATTTGAAAATGTTTTTTGTTGTCTTCTCCCCATGATAAAGTTCCAACCTTTCTTATACCATAATTCACCACCTGTTTAGTTAATCATTCATAATAAGATAACGTCGGAATTTTCATATTTATGATAAGTAAACATAAACAATCTGTCGTAACTGGCGCCCTGATATGATTATGATATCCGTAATACCGACTTCCGATGTGCAGAAATTCACACGCAAAAAATATAATTGATCGATTTGTGAGTAGACGCGACGAGGCGCTAAATTTACGAACCCCTAAAAATAGAAAAAATTCGGCAACCCAATTTCCCAGAAATGATTAGGGAAATCATAAAGAGATTCCGCTTCATACAAAGTGATATCATGGTAATATTGGTTTTCCAGTAAACTTGAGGAACCCCTTTTTATATATAGATGGTATACAATAATATCTGCTTAAGATAAGGATAAGAACTGCACTAGAGGAGTGACGCATAGTAAGCCCCTTAAGTACATTAGCCACCACTTGACTTTTGGCCAAATCGGAATGCCCACGCTTCTGTTTTTTTCAGCTTATAATCCAAACAATATAGAAAACTTTTGGTCTGGGGTCCAGAAAACAGAAAACCCAAGTGTGTTAGCTAAACGTATAAATTTAAACGCAGACAGCTGTTGGTATTTGCCATTTGAATTTTGACTGAGTCATAATAATTGCGGTTCGCAGAATTCCCTGTTGGTTTGATTGATTAACTCTGGTCTAAAGTATTTTTTTCTTTTTTTATTATTATTTTTTTCGAGGAGATGCTCTCACATATGCAAATTGGGTTAATAACTTTTGATGCCATGTTTGCATTTGGCCTTAGATGACTGTTATTTTCACAGCTCTTGATGGGGGTTTTTCCCTCTATTGATTTTTCTTATTTGCAGGGAGAAATGCAGTTTTGGGGGAGAGAGAGAGGGGCGCCAAAATACGCGTTTTTTATAGCGGCTTATTTGTTGTTTTGCGGCTCACACAGATAACGTAAGACGGCGTAGTGTGTGTAAAAGAGAGAAGGAGAGAGAGTGGGAAAAAGGATCAAAGCGGAGTGGGGAATGGCGAAGGCTAGAGAGAGAGAGAGTCCGATTCCTACCCCAATTACGCCCGGCGGCTCCAAAACAGCCCACGCATACACATGCAAAGGATGAAAACACAGCTGCAGCGGCGCTGATTTATTGATTTTTCCCTGGTAATCTCAAGCTCTTTTCCATCAATTATATAAAATGTTTCTTATAATTTTATGGGGGCTGAATTAAATGATATAGCGGTTAAAATTAGCCACAAAGGCTTCTAAAAATAGACTTTTTTCACGCCTGCCCTTGACTTTTTTCTGCTTTATCAACCGTTTCTTTTCTACCTGCCTTTTGCACAACACACCTATACAACTGCAGAGGCGGCTAAAAAGGAGGCGAAATAAAGGCGAAAACCCACACGAAAACAACAACAACAACGCGCAATTTACAAATACAAGTTCGTGTGTGTATACTTGGCTTGTACTTACGTTTTTTTTAGTTGGCCAAGTTAAAACAAGCTCGGTTCGCAGGAAATCGCAGGGGGAAAATCTTGTTTTTCATATTTTTTGATTAATTAGCTTTATAGCACGACACTTTCATTGACATTTCTTTGGATTTCGAGTCCAAAACTGGACGACAGGCTTTTCGGCTTGTTTTTGCTGGCCTGGCAAAAAGGAAACTGGTTTTCCGCACACAACTTCGATTTTCTTCGTTTTTTCGCGTGCCTGTTTCTCTCCTTTTCTGAATTACTCGCTGTCACTTGTCCGCCGCTAATTTCGCCAATTGGCTTTTGGTTTAAAACGCGTTCGAAGGGAGCCTTTTTGCTGGCCAATTGTTTGGATTTCCTTCGGTTTTCTTTTTTAAAAATAAAAACGTCGCGACGAAAAACGCGAGCGTTTTCAATGGTCGAGTTTTTTGACTAGAGATGGCCAGGCATTGATAGAAACAGCGATAGATGGACTAGGGTGACCGTTTAACAGAAACAATATCGATTAACAACATCGATATCTAAACAGCGAAGATTTCAACCACGGTACATAACTTGGATAATCAATTAGTTGGCAACATTGAGGGTATTCTATAAAATAACGATTTAATGGAACTTGAACATTCTAAATAAATAACAATAAAAAAAACTACCAAAGCTTAGAAGCATTGAGATATTTGTTTATATTATGTTTGATTATTTATAAATACAACATTTTTTTAGGATAAAATAAAGGAAAGCCCATTAAACTTTGGGCCTAATCATCATTTCAACAGAGGTAATAGAGGTCGTGTAGTCGCCATTCTGCCAAGAATTCCAAATAAGTCCATTTCTTTCATTTCGATTGTATTTTCCATTGAGTGAGCTGTAAGTTCAAGTTGAAAATTAAACTATATAAATTAAAATTTCAATTCAAATTCGCTTACCTATAACCACAATCATTGGTCCACCAACCACCTTGATCATTCGTAGAGCACATATTGTAATCGCCAGGCCTATCAAAAGTGGAGAACTTTTGGTTCATGCTGGTTGTAAAGAAATCTCCGGAAGTACCATTAAATACACCCAGTGATTTCAGCACATACGATTCCGTCTCATTGCCAATTTGGAAATTATCAAAAGTGGCGCTACTTGAAGATCCACCAGATCTTCCGATTTTAATGTAAAGTTCATGGGGTGCCGAATTGGTCAGCAAATAGAGTTTTTCCAGCCCGATAAAGAACTCTCTTGTGACTTTTCCAAACCCATCCTTGTAATCCTCCCATGATCGATCAAAATTCTCGGAACCATCGGAACGCTTTTGAATGGTCATCCAACCTTCTTCGGAGCAGGGAACTTCAAAAGCTGGTAAACCCTGCAATTTTGCCTTATAAATATCACTTGGACCTTCAACGGGACATCCATTTGTTCCATTAAGGATCAACAATGGATCAGTTTCTTCAGCCAGACGTCTTTCCAACTTCTGAATAGTTTGGTTCATGGAATTCACTAAGATTTCTTTGCTCTGGAGCTCTTCAATTGTTGCATTTAATTGTATCCACAAGTATTCAGTAATTTCTGTTTCGTTCTTCAGTTTTTCATCAGTTACATTTAACTGAATCCTCAAATCCTCAGCAGTTTCAGTGTATTTTACAGCATGTGTGATAAAAGCGTTGAGCATCCTGGTACAGTCTTCATCGCAATTGAATCTTAAAATAGATTCTTCGGAGCTTGCACTGGTAAAAAGAAGGACCTCAAAAGCCAAGAACGACAAGAAAATCTCCAGGAATATCGACTTCATTGTGCTGACTAAGACTTGGAAGTAAACTAAATTCAGCTTTGGCATATGTGCGGCTTATATACGCAAAGCCCTCTCTAGATAAGAGCCAAAAATATCTCAAAAATATCTGCAAAACTGACGAATTTTTGAAAAAAAAAACCTGCGAGATAATCTTTTTTTTTCTGAAATAAAATTTGACAAAAATAATTAAGGCAAAAGTGGTTTTTTTAAAGAATGATTAAGCATTACTCATTTAGATTAAGTTGACTTCTTTCGCTGATAACATGTGGGAGAGACCAAATCAGTTCAACAGAGCAACTGAAAACTCGATGTTAATAAATTTAATTACTACTATGTATTATGTTTTTTATTCCCCTTCAATTCTTTTATATTTATACATTTAAATAACTTACAAAAAAAACAAACAAAATTCAATCAAATGTGGGCCTAATCATCATTTCAACAGATGTTAGGGATATCGTGTAATTGCCGTTTTGCCAGGAAGTCCAATATATTCCATTTAGTGGTATTTCGGGTACGATACCATTTCTATAGTATTTTCCATTGAGCATGCTGTAATAATCAGAAATAAAAGGACAATCTTTTAAAAGTGAAATTTGAATATTTTTTACCTGTCAGCACACTTCTTGTACCACCAACCTCCAAACTCTTCATCAGCACAATTTAAGATGTTTTGGTCATTGTCTCTATCAAATGTGGTGAACTTTTGCTTCAGATGATAGCTCAGGGAATCCCCAGCTGTTCCCTCATATTTTCCCAGTGATTTAAGGACAAACGATTCCGTCTCGTTGCCGATTTCGAAATGATCGTAGTGAGCGTAGCTGGTAGATTCATTAAACATCCCGAGTATAATGTAAAGTTCGTGAGGTCGTGCCTTGGTTATCAAGTGTATTTTTTCCAGGCCCAAAAAGAACTCTCTCGTGACTTTTCCAAACCCATCCTTGTAATCCTCCCATGAACGATCAAAGTTCTCGGAACCATCGTAACGTTTTTGAATGGTCATCCAACCGTTCTCGAAGCAGGGAACTTCGAAGTCTTGTAATCCATTTAGTTTTGCTTTATAAATGCCACCTGAACCGAAATCGGGACATCCGTTTGTTCCATTAATTATCCTCAGTTGATCAGTTTCTTTAAGTAGCCGACTTTCCAAGTTCTGAATTGTTTCGTTCATTGATTTCACTAAGGCTTTTTGGCTCTTGAGCTCATCGTTGGTTATATTTAATTGAATCCGCAAGTCTTTCGAATTTATTGATTCATTCATTAGCTGAATTTGCAAGTTTTCAGTAGTCTCTGAGTAATTCACAAATCGACCGATTAAATTATTGAGAAACTCGGTACAACTTTTATCACAATTGAACTTTAGAAATGGTGGTGGTGGGCATGCACTGGTAAGAAGTACTATTTCAAAAATCAAAAACGGGCAAAAAATCATAAAGACTTTCCATTTCATTGTGTTATATGTGTTAGGCACCGGCTGAATTAAAATCAAGACTGAACAAAAATTGAGCATACTTGCGATCTATACAGACAAATCTCACTCGAGATAAGAACACCGGGTGGGTTTTTTTTGGGAGATAAAGTCTTTTATTATTAATTTTTTTAGTACCTAAATTTTTCTTAATAATTCTTTATTATCAAATTTATTAAATGGACACTGCAACAGATGAAACAGATTCTTCGGAGCCTGCACTAGTAGGGAGAAGGACCTCAATAGCCAAGAACGAAAGAAAATCTCCAAGAAATTTGACTTCATTGTTTTAACGAAGAATTAGAAGTAAACTAAATTATGCCCATGCATATGTGCGGTTTATATACGTAAAGCTCTCTCCAGATAAGAACCAAGAAGGGTTTATTTGGTGATTTGTGATTATATCAGAAATAATATTTTAAAAAAATAATTTAGTCAAAAGTGGTTTTTTTAAGAATGATTACTCATTACTCATTTAGATTAAGTTGCCTTCTTTCCCTGATAATATTTGGGAGATACCTAATTAGTTCAACAAATCAAATAAAAACCCCATTTTTTTAAATATACCATAGGTAGGTAAATTCTTTTATAATATAATATTACAAAACATTACAAGTATAAAAAAAAAACAAAAAAAATACTATACATTTTTTTATTCCCCTTCAATTGCTATATATTTATACATTTAAATGACTTACAAATAAAAAAAAACAAAATTCAATCTAGCCTGGGCCTAATCATCATTTCAGCAGAAGTTAAGAACTTTATATAGGTCCAGGAAGTAAAAGAAGTCCAGTATATTCCATTTCGATGTGTTGTTTGTACGATGCCACTTCTATAGTATTTTCCATTGAGCGTGCTGCAACAATCAAAATTTTTAAAACCTTTCTGAAAAGTTTAATTTCTTTTCTATTTTACCTTTCAGCACAGTTGTTGTACCACCAGCCTCCAAATTCACCACCAGCACAATTATATGTGGCTTTATCATTGTCTCTATCAAATGTTGTGAACTTTTGGTTCAGATGGTGGACCAGGGAATCCCCAGCTGTTCCACTGTATTTTCCAAGTGATTTCAGCACATACGATTCTGTCTCGTTGCCAATTTCGAAATAATCGTAAAGGGCGTGGCTGGTGGATCCATTAACCATCGTGAGTTCAATGAAAAGTTCGTGAGGTTGTGACTTGGTCATCAAGTGTATTTTCTCCAGCCCCAAAAAAAACTCTCTTGTCACTTTTCCGAACCCATTCCTGTAATCCTCCCATGAACGATCAAAGTTCTCAGAACCATCGTAACGTTTTTGAATGGTCATCCAACCAGATTTGGGGCAGGGAACTTCGAAGTCCTCTAATCCTTTTAGTTTTGCTTTATAAATGCCACCTAAACCGAAATAGGGACATCCATTTGCTCCATTAATTATCCTCAGTTGATCAGTTTCTTTAGGTAGCCGACTTTCCAAGTTCTGAATTGTTTCGTTCATTGATTTCACTAAGGCTTTTTGGCTCTTGAGCTCATCGTTGGTTATATTTAATTGAATCCGCAAGTCTTTCGAATTTATTGATTCATTCATTAGCTGAATCTGCAAGTTTTCAGCAGTCTCTGAGTAATTTACAAAACGACCGATTAAATTATTGAGAAACTCGGTACAACTTTCATCACAATTGAACTTTAGAAATGGTGGTGGTGGGCATGCACTGGTTAAAAGAAGCACTTCAAAAATCAAAAGCGGCAAAAAAATCACCAACAATTTCGATTTCATTGTGTTAAATATGTAAGGCACTGTCTGAATTAAAATCAAGACTGAACAAGAATTAAGCATACTTGCGATCTAAACAGACAAATCTCAATCGAGATAAGAACCCCGGGTAATTTTTTTGGCAGATAATGTATTTTATTATTCATATTTTTTTAGTACCTAAATCATTCAGTTTTTCCCAATAATTATTTATTTTAAAATGGACACTGCAACTCAAAAGTATTCCATGTCATATTGAATGAGAAATATGGAATTCGTTATTAGGGATCCAAACATGGCGGTAGTTGAACTGCGATCAATGCAGAATAGTTTCAATATTTCAATTTTGAAGGGGTTTCGTATCAGCTGCAATTGAATGCTTTCAAACTGAAGGGAAAAATGTTTAGTAATTTGGTAATCACATGAATTAAAAACAATCTTACGGATTCCTCCAAACGAACATCCAAACGGGAAGCAAACAGTGTTCTCTCCTCCAGAAGACATAACATTACCTTGTGATCATCTTGAAGATTCAGCATAATAAACAGATTGATCATGGCATCCAGATAAAAGAAGAAACACCAACTGAAGGCCAATATGACAGCTGGGATAGACAACTGTAGATTTTCGGGACCATTTTTGAGGACACTATAGGTGAGGTAAGAAGTAGCAATTGAGAATATGTAGTAACCACTGTAGACCATCAGTCCTTGGATTCCAACGACCTCATTCAACTGGGTGACAATGGATTGCAGTTCAGACTGGAGCCTAGCTATATTATCCACCTGATCCGCCAGGGAACAGCACCTGGTCATGAAGGACCCCTTTCTAAAAGGCAGATAGCTCAACTTTCTGCTCTCGTCGATCACCTGTCGCAATTCCGTGTTGAGCAGATGATAATAGGCTCGAACGAAGAGGGCTACCAAATAATGCTGCGATATGGCCAAGTTAATAATGGCCGACATCCAAAAGTTCAAGGTCATTCCTACAGATTGATTCGAGTCCAGACGACCCACTGCATCCCAGGCGATGGCTATTTGCACGAGATCAGTCACCGTGGATATGATGACCTTGATAAGAATGCCCCAGCGAGACATTCCCTTCACCTGCGGTTTTTCCTCAAAAAGTCGCAGCACTTTTCTGGCCAATCGCATCAATTTGGCCCGCTGACGCCATCGATTGAGAACGGTGGAAAGTCCTGAAAAATTCTAATTCTCAATAAGAAAATCCACCTAAAAAAATTGTAAATTTATAGTACAGAGGTGCTCAGAAGTGCGGTTACAAGCCCATTTTGCATTGGGCACACGTCGATTCTTCTGTGTGTCGCTGTCCGCACTTTAGGCAAGTCTTAAGGAAGTTCTGAGCACCCCTGATATATACTAATATAGTTAACAACCTGAAGCTATTCTCAGCGCGACCATAACGACGATAACATAATGATGAAGCTTGTTTGTTTTTCCAAAGAAAACATTGGGATCAGTTCGCTTGGAGAGTTGCGCAACCAGGACAATAAAGATGAGGACGTTAACCACGATGGCATAAATGGTGCTCCTTGGGGTCGTAAGGACTCGACCTGTCCGCCAGTTAATCTCAAAATTACCCAAACCGATCAGGTGTCCATAATAGTAGAATGCCTTCAATAGCCAACCGACCCAGTCGGTCATTTTGACCAACTGAAGTGGAGTTCTTGGCTTTTGTTTTGCCAAAGGGTAATTAATTTGACCCAATGACGCAATGTTCCAACTGCAAACCCAGTTAATCATTGATAAGATTGCAATCCCAAAGTGTCCTTAATAAAGGAAATACATTTGGAAGTATGTGATGAACCTATAAATAAATAGCTTACACATAAATCTAACAATTTGGGTAACACAGTACGCTCGAAGCTTACAAAGTTTTCTTCTCTACGTTTTTTTAAGGTCCTAATTACGGAAAATTAAATAAACAGGATTTTCAAAAGAATTATTCCGACCTTCGAAAAAAAAATTGATTAGACGAATTGCTTTATTTTTTTTAGAAAAGAATAAATAAATAGTTTTATTCGCTTTTGTTTTTAGCATATATAAATAAAACATTTGCTCAATTCACAGTATGAATTGCATACAACTTACAACTAAAATTTGGGTCTAATCATCATTTTAACAGAGGTAAGTGAGATCCAATAATCAAATTGTTGCCAGGAAGTCCAATAAATTCCATTGAGATACAAGTGACCATTTCTTTCACTTTTAATTCGACCGTCTTTATGGAATTTTCCATTAAGCGTGCTGTAATTTAAAGTGTTATAATAATTTCCACTAAATATGTTAAACATTTGTAAATTATTTACCTGACAGAACAAGCTTTGTACCACCAACCGCCAGAACTATATTGAGCGCAATTATCCTTGTGATTGTCATTATCCCTATCAATGGTGGTGAACTTTTGGTTCAGATGGTAGCTCAGGGAGTCTCCAGCTGTTCCACTATATGCTCCCAGTGATTTCAGCACATACGATTCCGTCTCGTTGCCAATTTCGAAATGATCGTAGAGAGCATAGCTGGTGGATCCATTGACCATCCCGAGTTTAATGTATAGCTCGTGAGGTCGTGACTTGGTCATCAAGTGAAGTTTCTCCAGTCCGATGAAGAACTCCCCTAATAAATTTCCGAATCCATCCTTATAGTCCTGCCACGATCGATCAAAGTTCTCGGAACCGTCGAAGCGTTTTTGGATAGTCATCCAACCCTCCACGGAGCAGGGAACTTTGAAGGACTTCAATCCCAGGGGTTTTATTTTGTAAATTCCACTAGGACCTCCAACGGGACATCCTTCAGCTAGATCCTTGGAAAGCACTTTCCTTTGACGTAACCTTAAATCCTTTTTAGCATAAGCACTTGTAATAACCACCGCCAGAACCAAAAAAGGCAGGAAAAACTTTAAGGATCTCGAGATCATTGCTTTAAATATGCGAGACAGCGCAGACGAAGACTGAACTAAACTTATCCGAGTTTTAGCGTATGTACTGCTTTTTATAGGCAGCGGTCAGTTGCGATAAGAATAAGGGTTATTTCCCAAGAATATTTACATGTTCTCCGGAATTTACGGGCATAACTCATAATCTTACACATTACTTCCGCTGATAACGTTTGCGAAAATCCCATGATATGTTATATATAACATTTATGATTAAAAAATGTTGCTAAAGCATATATAAGAGAAGTATACAGAAAGAAACTTCCAAGTTCGATGGCAATAAAACACTTTAAATATTATATACATAAATGGATTTAGAGTACTTTATGACATTTATTTTATTCTCATTTCATATTATTAACGAAAAAATGTACATAAAAACGTTACTGCTTTGGTTTTCCGTTTTCCTTCACCGGTTGCCCCCGATAATTATACATAATTTGACTTTTCCTATGGATTTCCGGCTTTTCCGCTCACTCCGTTGGTCCAGACACACACTCGTATTTTTGATGGGAAGCCTGGCTAATTATCAAAATACTGCTCTCGACTGCTTTTTCGGTTAGTGGCCAATATTGTGGAATACTTCACTTTCTCTGTACAGGGTAAAATACTTTTATACATCTCGCATCTCGAGTCCGGAAAGGATCCTAATCCTATTTAACTGGAATCTGGATTTTGGATTCTGGACCTGGTCTCTCATTCATTCAACTAACGAATTCGCTATAGGTTAGCTATGTGTATTGTGTTAAGTTTGCTTTTAAAAATTAGCCTTGGCTTATAAATATATTTCTGTGTAGATTTTCCTCAGCTTTTGCCCGCGGTTTATTGTTGAAGCAGCCTGTAGACGGTTCGTGAGACGCAAGAAGTGCATTTGCAGTTCGGTTTTGTTCGCTATTTGTTTTGATTTCTATTCATTTTTTTTGGTTCGCTTTACAATAAAATTGTCTGACAAATGTACACAAGAGAGAAGTGAAATGAAATGGAATCGAATCAAATCATATGCGGTGTAAAATTACAAAATATCTTTGCGCAGATTAAGTTGTATTCAAGGTTTATGGATGGTAAATGTATTCTATAGATATTTCTAGGGGGAAAATAAACTGATATCTGGTTATTAAAATTATTGCGGAATTTCGGTTTTAGTTTTTAGATTTCTATGTCAAACCGTTTGTGCTGCCGTTTCAACTTGCCGTTTAAAATAGGCATACGTTTATATTAGTGTAGATAGATTGGTTCTCAGTTCTTTATAGTTAAAAGTTAAAATAAATTTAAAATTAAATCCTTTTTTTTAGTAAAGTAAAACCCTGAATTATCTATATATTGCATTTTATACCATCCATACCACCCGCCTACTTTACAAGATATATCTTTATATATCTCTTTAATTGCCTAATAGGTTGTAATGCTGCTCTATATGCTGCTCGGCTACTTAAGATTATTGTACAAGCGACAGAATCAGCAAATTCGGATCCAAACGAAAGACTGAAGTTTGTTAACAATTAGATGGAATGGTCAACCATCCTCCGCCGCTCTACTGGTACTCATCATCGCTGCTCAGCAGCATGGTCTTCTCGTTGTAGTTCTGGCTGATGGTCGCCACTCGCTGACCGCCGGGCTGGAACTTCCGCTGGTTGCCCAGCGTCTTGGAGGCCATGCAGTTGCTGCCGCCGTTGCCTCCGTTTCCTGGTCCAGTGGCCACCGCATTGTATCCCCCGCTTGTGGGCTGTGATGCCTGCATGGTTCCATTTCCTGCTCCCGAGCTCGGGTCATCGGGATCGTAGCTGGAGACGCGAATGCCGCGCGAGTTCTTGCCACCTGTTTGCGGGTTAGTGGAGTGGGAACATGGGCTTAATCATACCGGGTCACACGGATCGAGGGACTATATCTATGTACAGGGGTCATTAGATCATGCCATGCTTGCAATACGTATACCTTGATTAAGATCTTAATTAGTTTAAAATAGTATAAAAACTACAACGCAATAAAAAACTTTTTTTAAGATCTTTTCGGAGACAAATTTGATTAGAAACCGTACAAACATTTAAGATAAAGATTTAAATTTTATTATTTGAAATTGAATTAATTTTAAAATAGTTTATAAAACCCGAAAAAATTATAGTACTAAAAAAATTATCTAAAAGACCATCTTTCTATTAACAATAATATATAAAACCACTTTAAAGAGTATAAAAATAGATCCCAATTCTTTAACAAATTTTAAAAATAATAAAAATTGAATACAAAAAATCAAAAGTTCTTAATCAAGGCATAGGTATGATATAAAGTTAGAATGAGGCCAATATAAACATGCAACGAAGAAAACGAGGCAAGGCAAACAGTTGTCAAGCTTATCGTACATTTATTGCTAGATATTTTAGATATTTTATACAATTGGTTTAAAGTTTAAACATTTACAAACAGAAGTAAATAGAAGCACGACGAGAGCTTATCACAAAAAAAAAAGATGTTGTCAAAACGGGGAAATCAAAATAAAAGAAAGAAAAACTTTGTTTTTTTGGTATCTTTGAGCGAAACGGAAATACGTAAATAAATGCTGAGGGGGAATCTAACTTGAAGACCGCTTGAATAGAGAATCTATTGCATACAGTACAGGTAATAAAATCTTTGTTTACAAATACATAATATTGTACAATATTATAGTTCGTTTCCGTAAATAGCTAACTTTTAAATAGAGTTGTTTTTTAAAAAACGCTTAAACTTAGGTGTGTAGAGTGTAAACGTAGGAAATACAGAATTACAGACATAGAGGCGGCGCGCGGAACTCATCTAAAAAAGTACCTAAACTCAAATGACAGGCTAAGGCAATTTTCTGTTCAGCTTTCAGCAGTTTGTGGAGTGAGTAAGTAAGTAACTAGGCCTAGTACGTATCTCCTCTCTGAGTGTGCTTTCTTGGGTATTTTTCATGTTTCCGGGGGATACTTTGTTGGGGTTTTTTAAGCTAAGGCTATAAGTACACTTTTGTTTGCTTCGTTTTCGGTTCGCGTCCCGCTTGGAATTGTGATTGCAATTAGTGTTTATTAGCGAGCATCGCTAGAGTTTTGCTTTTCATATTCAGATTTAGAGCTTTTCGTAACGCTGAGCCGAGGTTACTTCTGCAAAAGATAAGAAAAACAAGAAAGAAAAACAAAAGTGTGAAAAACATAACGATAATGGAATGAAAGTAGGCATCGAAATGCATTAAATGAGAGCAACGAAACACAGGAGATAAGATAAGTTTTTAGCAGGCACGAAGAAAAAAGAACGAAACATGCCACAGACACGAGCACAAAGAGATCTTGGGCTTAAAAGTCGAGAAAGTGGATGGAAAAGACCAACCTGAGCTGTACTGAGTGTACTGCTGGTACTGCGGATGGAAGTTGTGAATAGCATCTGTCATAATATCCTTGGGATTCATCGTTTCCTGAGGGAGAGAGGAGGTTTAGATTAAGGGAATCTTAATAAAAGTGTCTCAAAAGCTCACCTTAAGACTGCTGGAAATAGACTGCATGGTGACAGATCGTCCGTGTCCATCGCTGATGCAGCTGCGTGCATAGACCTATAAATATAATATAATATATTAATGAAATAAAAATAAATCAAATGTATAGGCTAATCTTTCTAATATATATTATAATCTGTCTTATTAAAACTACTGTTTTAAAAAGTTATAATAATAACTATGTAAAAGTATTTTAAGATTAAAACAGTCTTAAAGAAATAGTTCTTTTTTATTTTTCCTAAAAATACTTTTCTAAAAGATTTTCAAATATACTTTTTTTATGTTTTTATTAACTTAAAATTGAGTTTAAACTTTAAATACCTACATTTTTCCAGCCAACTCATCATTACATGAAAACCCCTCACCTATCTATCCTAATAAACACCGAAAATAACCCAGAAAAGCACTTATTCCGCCACTATCTAATCACCAAAAAAGTAGTAAATACCACCCGTCAAATCTCTGGCCCACTCCGACGACATTCCGGAACGAAACTAACCTGATAGGGGAATGCATAGCGCAGTGCGATGGCGGCGAACAGCATTTCGATGCAGATGAAGAAGTTCTGGTAGCCGGCGGAGACAGTACCGGGTTCCACGGTGACAGTGCCCGCACTGTCCACAATGGGCGAGATAACGTTGGCCTTCTCCAGGATGGCCAGACCCACGCCCTGCCAGAAGGACAAGAAGATGACCGACTTGATGGTGCAGAACTTCAGAACCGGTTCGAATGGAGTCAACAGATCACGGGTGGCAAAGTAGAACAGATAGAGACCATATAACGCCAGCGACACGGAAATGTTGTAGATAATGGTGATGTAAATGTAACCGCCATCAGCGCTGTAAAGGAGATAAGGAGAGGTATTAGTGGGATTAACAAAGAAGTAAGAGTAAAGAGTACTTTTGTAGTTACTCTTTCTTATAATTAAATTTTAACTAATAAAATACAAAGTTCATAACTTTAGCTACTCCATATTTGCGATTTTGTATGGGATTAACAAAGAAGTATAAGTAAAGACTATTTTTTAACAATGTTTGTTTGCTATTAACAACTCTTTCCGTAATATTATAGCTTCACAACTTCACCTACGCCATATCTACAATTTATAGCACACCATTTATCTGCAATAACCCTGGGCTATTAAACCCAAGACCTATATTACCTCCAATCACCATCGTGGTAGTGCCCAAAGGCCTGCAGAAAGATGATGATGAAGGCCACCAGCGGCTTGACCAGGCAGAACTGCAGAGTGGCCTGCTTGCAGAAGCGCAGGAAGCCAATCGTGTAGGTCTTGCCCTTCAGGCAGCAGGTGCCGTACAAACACGACGTCTTGATGGGCTTGCCGCGAATCTCCGACATGATGTTGCCCTCGCCGCCCAGGTACTCGTAGCACAGCGACAAGAAGTTGTAGATTACAAAGGCTGGGGATTAAGGTTAACGATTAGTTGATAGCCATTTAAGAACCCTAAAAGGTAGCCTCACCTTCGTAGCAATCGCGCACCGTGAAGAAGTAAATATAAACATTATCCGAGTTGAAGAAGAGCAGACTGATCCAGGAGTAGGTGGCGTAGATGGGCACGATGAACAGGATGCGCACGATCCAGCGCTGCTCCTGGGGATTCGTGTACCAGCGCAGGTGCTGGTAGATCTGTGAAAGAATAGGAGGATTAAATATGCCAGGTAAATGAGTGATTAGTTGACACATACCTGTTGACAGGTGATAAACAAGGCGGCCCAAACACAAACACCGGCCAGCACCTGGGCGGTCTTTGTCTGCAGGAAGATGCCATCGCCCACATGGAGCAGGGGATCCAGCGGCGTGCTCATCTTGTTCACCACCACGTAGTTGGTCTTCCCTGTCGAGGCCTCTAGCGATCCCGAAGTCGTAGCTGTGGTGGCGTTGTTACCAACGCTGGCATTTAGAGCCGCCTCGATGAGACTGGCGGCGGTTGTGCTCATGCTGCAATGGGGAATCCAAAACGAAAGTCGGATTAGAATGGGTGTAGCCCGGTTTTTGGGTGCAGGAATTATGAAATGCTCGGGGTAGACACTAGACAGCTAGGCAGGCAAAACTCTATTTACGTTCTCGTCTCGACTTTCACACGAACGAATTGCTCTGGAAACAGAAACGACATTCTACTCAGAGACACGAAAACCATTTTCAGCATGGCTGTGCTGACCCTTTGGCTATTATATAGTTGCTTTGAAATCATAAAAAATATTTTCTAATATTTAAAAAAAATTCAAAAGACATTTCTTATAAAGAGTTTAATATTTCTTAATATTTTTAAGTTGTTATATTATTATCTAAATTATTTTAAAACCATAAATATATTTTGTAATATTTTAAATAAATTAAATAGACAATTTTTAAATGGAGGTTTATATTTCTATATATTTTTTAAGATGTTCTATTATATCTAGTTCCTTTAAAATCATTAATAAATTTTCTTAAATCTAAAATTAATAAAAAATATACCTTTTTTATATTGACTTTTTTTTTAATATTATATTTTTAAGATTTCCTGCATATTTATTTTTAATCACATTTGCATTGCTTTCCATTCATTCGCGATTATATAAATTTAAAACAACACGTTCAAAGAAAATATGTGAATCAGTCATGTGCAAAAGTTGAATAATAAGCTAATGAATAATTATAATTACAAATATAGATTAATATTTGTTGTTAGGCAATAAAAACAATTAAATGCTTTTAGTGAAAATTTAAAAATGACTTGTTATTCAATTTTTAAATAGTTTTATTTTTAAAGAATTTTTCAATAAGATTTAAATATAAATTTACAGAAACACATGTGTTTTCCGTAAATAAAACTCTGATTTGTTGCTCCAAAAATTTTATGACAACACTGCAACAATGTTTGGACGAATTGGGTCAGCAAAGAAACAAAGTAGAGAATGTGGAGCGGCAGCTAAAAAACAAAAACAAACAAAAGAGTAGGCGGTGGGTGGGGAAAGGGGGTGGTGGGATTTAGGAGCAGCGGGACAGCAGAGGCGCGCGCATTAGATCATCACGCAATCCAATATTAATAATGGACTCTCTGGCGCAGCCAAGAAGGAAAGTTATGGCCACCTCCACACCTGCCACCTTGTCTCAGGGTCACTTCCAAACGGCTCCATATCGATTTCACCCGCCTGGGGAAATGCCAACCAATCAATAAACAAGTATTAAGTATTAAGCAAGCAGAATAGAGTACATATTTGATGTTTCTTGAGGCACTGGCGGTTTATATAGAGTGCATCTGGTTGGGAAGCGACGCAAATAGCTTTAAAAATAATCTTGAAATGGAGAGCTTTTCGAGGAGATAAAGAGACAGCAGCAGAGAAGCCAATTAGCTGTACGAAAATAGCCCAAAAGTGCATTGGAACGGTTATGTACAAAGAAATTAAACTAAAAGTTTTGGTAGAACGGAAACATGTGGCATTTCAAGTGGACTATTGGGGCTTAGGAAATCCGATAAGGCGTTCTGGGAAATATATATACACTTTTATGTTGAAAACAGATTATAAACGGATTATACTTTTATGGAAACGACTTTATAAAGCATTTTAATGAGGCGTAAAAATATAATCAACTGTACGGTCAAGAAAATTGCAAATATATATGGTATATTTGAAAAAATAATTGAATACGACTCCCTAGAAACACTAAGATGATAGGAGACTTGCATAAGACAATCTTCTAGAATTCCACGAAGAACTTATTATTATAAAAGATCTACATTTTTCCATTCCTTAAAGAAAGATCCAAAATGCATAGAAAAAAGCTTCTAACAACACCATCAAATCTTGAAGAATTAATACTATAATCATAAATCATATCAAAAGAGATCTATAATCTTTTTTATTTTATAGTAATTATTAAGACCCTCAATGTAGCTTATTGATGGGAAATTCTCCCCAATTCCTAGACTGAAGTGGATGAATTCACCGATGACTTGGAGCTGCGCTGGGACAGCGAACGACGGCGTTTATCCGACTCGCGTCTGGCCTTCGATTCCTTCTTGCGGAGCGACAGCAGCTTGGCGTACTCAGCGGCGGCCAACTTGGAGGCAGTGCTCCGCTTCTTGCGCTCGGCGAGCATCTTCCTCTTGCGCTGCAGGACAACCGGGGTGATCAGGCGCTGGATCTTCGGCGCCTTGGAGGTGGCCTTCTTGCCATCCCTCTCGGGCAGAGGACGACGAACCACATAGCGACGCACATCGTCCTCCTTGGACAGATTGTACAGCTTGCGGATCTTGCTGGCCCGTTTGGGACCCAAACGACGGGGTTTAAAGGTGTCCGTTAGTCCAGGAATGTCCTCCTCTCCCTTGTGAACTATTACCAAGGCCAAAACAGACATATTGGCATTAACGATGCAGCCACGAACGGACTTCCGCTTCCTTTCGCCATCGCGACGGGCACGATAACAGGATTGACCGGATTTCAGGAGCAGGCGGACACGCTGCTGGCTGAAGATGCCCTGTTTCATGGGGAATCCCTGCTTGTCGTTGCCACCAGCGATGCGGAGCATGTAGCCCCGCCACTCGTCACCCAATTGATCCGCCGGAACGGTGGCTCCCATTCGCTTCTCGTAGAAAATACGCAGCCTGTGCTCGTCCACCACCTCGAAGAGCTTCTGGCAGCCAGTTACTGGATAGGAAATATTCAACTTCATCTCTACAGGAAACTCTTATTTTCTTAGCTTGTAAAAATCTGGTTGTCTCGACCCTGCGACAGGCAAAGTGAAAAGAATGAATTGGTAGCAGAAAATCAAAAATGACAAACAGGAATAAATGTCAAAGTTCCTTACTCAACACTGTTGTAGGGTTGATATAGGGTTAAGAAAACCACGTGTTTTTATAAACGATAGTCTCGTGAAATCAATATCACTGTGAAATGACAGAAATCAAGAAATCTGGCCAAAAGTTCCGTGTTTAGCACTATTACAACACTATAATAAGAGTGTTATATGGAGGAAAAAAAGAATAATACAGTGCAAAAATTCGTACTACAGATACAGGTATAAGATATTTTGGGAGTGCTATAAATTTCTATAGAGTATCAGATAGCAACTTGTAACTGAGTCACAGAATATTGGGTGGAAATACAGAAAGGAAACCGTTAAAATTCCAGTTATTTTTTCATATTTGTTTTGTAAGAAACAATTTTTAGATAAATAAAACTTTTATTTATAACAAAATATATTAGCATATGGCGGAAATGTCAAAGTTATATGTAATATGCTTTATGTGTAATGCATATGGATGTACATTGTACATATATTTAATTTTATAACGTCACTAGGGATTGTTTAGTAATGAAATTTATGGGGTTTTCCCTTTAGGAATATAAACAAAATTTAGAGATAAGGAATAATATAATAGAAATTAGTCATAGATTTGAATAAAAGCATTATTTAGCTTGTAAATACTAAAACATTTTTAACATTTATAAATATTTAAGTAACAATATGGGTAATAATAATCTTAATATGGGTAATTTTTTAAGAATTAAAGCTATCTTTTCGATCTTTATTGATCTAAAAACGTTACTAAAACTAGTGAACTATTATTATATATACCCTATATAGCATAAACTTTAAATATTGTGAATATTTCAGTGGCGTTGACAAGGGTTTCCCATTAGGGGACTGAAAATCACGGCGGAGATAACGAATGAGTCACGAACTCGTGCAAAAGTTAATAATACTCGTATTGTTGAACTCGAAATTTGTGAGCAACGCAAAAGCGTTAAATGTTAAACGTTTGTATTTGCGTACGCAAAACGAAACCCAGAAGTAGATGGCCAAAAGAAGAAGAGGAGGAGAAGGCTAAATGAAACACAATCAGCTGCACAAAGAAGAGCAACAACAAGTTGCTGTTGGCGGAGAGATACACAGAAATTGGCCAAGCCAAAGTCTCCAAGCGACGTCGAAGAAGAGTCTCCAAAAAGAGTGGCGAAAGACGAATAAAAGCCATATTGCGATAAATGGAGGGCAAAGGGGAGTTGCTGAATACGAGGGGGAGTGGGTGGTCGGAAAACTTTTTGTGTGGCTTCAGAGGGTTAATTGAATTTGAAGCAAAAACAAAAATAAATATAAACCATATGCGAAGACGACCTTTTGGAGAGTGTAGAAAGAGGAAGCTTATCTTTCGCACACACACAGACACACCTTGCTTATCAATGCAAAAATACATATATATCGTAAATACACATATATGTATTAATAAAAACATTCACAGCACACACACTCAATTATTTCGTCATCGAATCGGGTAATTCACAACTTGCCATTTCAGGGAAAACAACTTTTACACACACAAACACACACGAGCAATTCCTTTTTAATTGGCACGCTAATTACCTTTTTTCAAATGCAACTCTCCACGCTTTCGAGCGTTTTCACAGTTGCAAATTCCGTTTAATTTCGCTGCACCCGTTCAATTCCAATTTTTCAATTTCCAATTATCAGTTTTTCTTCGTTTCCCCGTTTTTTTTTCACCTGACGCCAGTCGCGTCGCCCACTGACGTCGTCTTTTATTTCGAGGCTAAAAGAATGGCCCGATTCGCGTGATTTATGCCCGCGAACGCACACAATATGTTTGCCAATGTTTGGCAAACGATTCCAGGGGGTTTTTCGCGAGCCGTGGGTGTGAAAACAGCGAGGAAAGCGGAGCAAAATAAATGAAAATTACGAACGATTTGTTTCGGTGTGTGACCTAACTACAACAAGCCGAGAATTCTGCGTGCCAATACACAAAAAATACCGAAACATATGTTTGCGGTATGTGCGGGGGCGTGTTGGTATTTTCTTTTGTCAGGTGGTAAATAAATACCGCACGTTTTCACACTGCGCCGCATTTGCATTTCTGGAAAAAAGAGCTACGCTCCATAGTTTCGAACTAATTTGATTAAGTGTTTCCCATCCCTTTAGAGTTTAATCCTTTTTCAAATCTTTTGATCTTTAATCCCTTTCTTTGCCATATTTTTGCAGATAGTCAATGTAGTTGATTCCACTATGTTCACTAGTTTGTTTTTCATCAAAAATAAAGAATACAGTTACATTTTTTATTTTATTCCTACTTTAACGGTAGTTGGTAAAATGAATTCATTTAAAGTGAATGAAATCATTTAAATCAGGATCAAAAGACACACCCCTAATATTTCAGGTCAGTGTGCCCAGATTTGTCCAAATAGTGGTATTTTAGAACTAATGCCCTGCAGCACACTGATCTCGGCCGCCATGTTGTTTTTTGTCACCGTCACCAACACAAGCGCAGAAATTACAGCACAGCATTTCAATTTTTGAGTTGCTGCCAGGAAAATCACAATTTTCAGCCCGATCAACTGCAGAAATTGTCAAATAAATATATAGAGTTTGAGCCAAACCGAACCCATCTGTCTTTGTGCATTGGTGGTCCAGAATAACTAGCGTTTTTGTATGGTTTTCGTGGTGAGTAAAAGTTCATTGAATAAATCCAAGTACTCGTACCTAGAACAGCGACGCCACGCCCCCTCCGCCTCTCCTAACCGTTCGTTACGCTTCTTCTTGTGGAGATGCTGCAACAACTACAACAACACTGGAAGGGAGAGAGAGGAAACAAAGAAAACGGCGGAAATCTGTGAAATTTAGTTAAAACAATCAGTTAAAATTGTGCTAAAAACTATTGATTTGCGTTAAAACGCTTCGCGGGTTCCTCTTTGTGCTCTGCTTCGCTGAATTCGTCGTGCTTTTCGCTTTTATTCATAATTTTCCGCCAAGGTACAGTTTAGCATGGGTTCTACTAGCCTCGTTCTAGATTCCATTTCAAGATTAGTGAGCATTATATGTAAATATACGTAGAAATAGTTTTCCCGCGAAAGATGTGTGATCCACACCATAAAATCTACCTATTTCGGGGCACTTTCACCCAGGTACACAGCTGCGGGAAAATTTATAGTGGTTGAGGTAAAAATATGACGCCGAAGAGGTGGTATTCATGAAATAAGTCTAGGTAATATTAAATAGATTGGTGAGCATAATATGTATAGAAAAAGAATTCCCTTGAAAAACTTGTGAGCCAGACCATAAAATATACCTTTTTCGGGAGATTTCCACACAGGTACACAGCTGCGGGGAAATTAATAGTGCTAAAGTAAAAAAAATTATGATAAATGGTATCTATAAAATAAGTTTGCGGGTGTCGCGGAAACCTAACCACAAAAAAAATGTTTAAATACAAAATAAATATTTAAGAAATAAAAGAAATTAGCTATGTATAAAAAGGTCATACAAGTTTTATAGGACTGTATTCTTTATCGAGGCTATGAACACTAATCTTTTGTTCAACAAAATTATTTAAAAACTTTAAGTACTGTTACCTCAGATTACCTGTTTGTAATTGTAATAGTTTGCCCATGTAGAGAACGACAATCTTGTTTATTTCATCTCTCTTTTGATAACAAAACATACACTCTATAAAGCCGAAATTTTAATTCTTTTTTAAACCTCCCCTAAAATAATAAAATATGTATCCTTTGAAAAACTTTGGAAACCATGGTAGCACCCCATTTATGATATAAAACGGAAAACTCTTAGTTTAGAATTGCCAAGGCAACATCTTAATTTATTTTCATAACATTTACCTTTAAATAGTCTTAATAATTGATTAATTGAAAGACATCACTACCAAGTTGTGGTGTAAAAAAGTTTGTCAATTTTAAAATATATTATTCGTATACATATTTATACTTTTTTCGTATCAATGAATTCCAAATTAACAATTTTAAATTGTGTTATTTGAAAGTGCCACAGAAATGCTTTCCTTTGATTGTAATCTTTCTCTAAGAACTATATTCTTGACCGCCTCTATGAGTTAACCTCTAGTTTAAGTGCTCAATACTTTAAACCACGCGATCGCAGCGTATTGGGACGATTTGCTCCCCCTCCAAAGTTGCCGGGTCGGAAATTCTGCGTCTGCTGGGTGGGATTATTGTTCCCGGGAAACTGAACCGGACTCCCTGAATTGCTGTTGCTATTGCCGCTGGGAGCCCGACTGATGCCCAGGCCATTGTTTCGCAACCTGGGCGCCACATAGGGACGCTGGCTGGTGGAGATTCCGCCGGTTCCCAAAAGAGGAGGAGGAGTCACCACCTGAGGCGGCTGCTGTGGAGGATTCACATTGCCCAGCGGTGGCTGCTGCCTCACTATGGGCGGCACTATCGAGTTGACGGAGGAGGAGAAATTGGGAGCCGGCTGCGGAGGCTGCTGAATCGGAGGCTGTGGAGTAATCTGCGTCTTCTTGGTGAGCGATGGAGCCAAGTACGGATGATTGCCGCCACCAGTGCCGCTGCTGTTACTCTGCGGGATGTCGTAGTGGCGGCCCGAGGGCGTCGTCACCGGGATACTATTCCCAGGCGTTAAGGCGTTGCAGGGCTTGGAGTAGTCATAGCCATTGGGCACCGCCTGGACGTAGTTGTCGAAGTACTGGCTCACCTGGTGCATCGGCGTGGAGTAGTTGACGGCAATGAGGGATTCCTTGGTGCGTAAACCCGAACGGGATTGGGCCTGGGCCGCCTGGAGACGCAGGATATTGGCCTGCTTGATGTGCGGCAACAGCTCGGCATCGCCCTTGATCTTCTCGACCACCGCCTCGTCGCTATCGATGCTGTGCTGCTCGCTCTGCTCACTGGCTTCTGCCTTCTTGGTGGTGGTCTCCTCCTCCGCCGGCTTAGCCACCTCCTTTGGCACCTCCACCTTCACCTCCTTCTGACTGGGCACCACCGTCTCCTCCTTCTTTTCACCCTCGGGCTTCTTGCGATTCACAAACTCGAACAGGTCGTCTATATCTGGCACATCGGGCAATGATCCATAGGAATCAAAGTTATCCCGGAAGGCAGTCGCCCACTCCTCGCTTTTGTGCAGCTTTGGATCGATGATTAGCTTCGGCTGCTGCTTGTGATTGTGACTACCTTTGGTGACGGGAGATCCCAGGGCCGCAGCTTCTTCGGGCGCTGAAATGCCACCCACATTCTTGATCACCGTGATAGTCTTCACACGGGTTCCCTCCTTGGAGTCAATGTTGGTGGCTGCGTAGCTCAAACTGAGGTCCCTCTTGGCCGGCTGGGGATCCACAATCACTTCGGTTGGCTTCTCCGGGTACTTGATGCTTATTATCGTCGTCCCGTGCACTCCAACTAGTAGGAGGAGGCCCAAGGCGGCCATTGTATGAATGCGGGGAATCTGTGGGATGTTCTTTAATCAGTTTTCACTCTTATTTTTCCTACTTCTTGCGTTTTTGAATTAATTTATGGGTTTGTAAGGCCCTGAGGTGATTAGTTCTATTAAATTCCTAATTCCTATAAGGAATTCTACGATATTATAGGAAACATTTGAACTATTCACTATTCTTATAGCATATGTTGCTTTCTATATTTCGATTTTCTCTAACTCAAAGTTCCTTTATTCTAAATATTTAAGTTCGCCTTGATTTAAAATTGTTATCAAAATTATTACCATTTTATTTATTGCGGTATTATTCTACTTTTTGGTAGTGATATTCCTCAGTTATTTAATGGAAATTTTTTTTGTGGGTTTCTGGGGAATTATTTATAGTTGGAAATTTTGATCAATTTATCTTATAAGATAAAACATATTTAAAATGATTTTTGACTTATGTTTGAAGGTTAATTATAGTCTAATCTTATCTGACATGCAAAATATATTACCCCACTTAATCAAATCAATATTGATGTTGGTAAGTCTATCATTTATCAAGGGTCTAATCAAGTTTTATATTGTGTATTGCAGTACTGGAGTTAATCTTAAAATTGCCTTTATTTATGTGTTATGAGGATAGTTGTGGAATAAAGATTGAAGGTCTTAGATCAACTGGATGGCATTGCGAGTAAAATCTATTGATCGTGGATAAGTAATAGCTGTTTGAATGAAGTGAAGATCCGATAGAGGAAAGCCAACAGTAAGTTGCTCTACTGAATGAAACATATCTGATCGATTGATCAACAAGTCAGTCAGAGAATATCCTCTAAAATCTCTGCATAATCACAATTCATGGCACACTTTTCAAGGGTAATCCTAGGCATATATCGATCACTCACTGTCGATTTTCTCATTGCTTTAATCCTTCGCACGTGCGATCGATCAATCAATTGATCCGATCGTTTAACGATGACGATACGATGACGTGATGATGATGAATGCGATAATCGAGCGATGATGATCTCGATGACGACCGACTGCGGCGGAGACGGAGACGGTAACGCGGTCAATTCGATTTTCCTACTGCCGGTCCCGAGATGCCAACAATGCTTTTTATATAGCCAGGCGGAAGGAGTTTCGGTTTGGGTTTCCTGTAGCTCTGGATATCTATATAACTGATGTCTTTGACACCGAGACACAAACAAGCCGCATTAGAGCTCAAAGCACAAAACTAGCAGCGCCGATGCCGATTGAATTAAAGCTGCATAATCGCTTTCCCATTACGTCCAAAACGATCAACGGGTTTTCTCCAGCCACTTCTCATTTTGGGAAAGCAGTCGCCGCCGCCGATCCTCCCGATCTATCGATCCCCCGCATCCTCCGATGGACACACACATAATTGAGTGCGACTAATGAGGAAATTGAAGCGGACTTAATGATCGCAGAGCATGTGGATCTGTGGGAACTCCTCGATCTGGATCTGTGTGGTGGGCGGCTGCTCTACCTACACCTTTAGTAAGCATAATTAGCTTTTCTCCCCGAATATTTCTCTCTGTCTTTGGTAAGATCATGTGCGAAGGTCAGCGGCTGTGTCGGGTAAGTGAGACCTCATTTAGACCTTAATTTCATTTGAGAGCTATGGAGAGCTCCCCAGTTTGTTGCAAACTGGTCCTCTTACGCAATGCCGAATGCAGACAAGACCCACAGATTGTCATGAGAAACTGCCAGCGGAGTCCATGAAGTGGGGAGCCTAATGTGTGTGCAATCGAGCGATCAACTCGAGATAACATCAGGAGCAGAGCAGAGTACTGCTTTAGCTTTTCCCCCAAGGAAGCTGTAACGAAAAGTAGTTTATATCGGAAATACAGAATTAAATCGTTGCCTTTGCGTGGGTTTGCGGGTTTGAGGCCTCAGCTATCCAAGGACAGGACAAGATTTTATCGGTTTTGCTACCCAGTTAACCAAATGGAATCATATGTATAAATATTTACCATTTAATAAGGTGAAAATTAAGTGATATCGAAAGAGTAAGAGCGAGAATGAAGTGATGATCGATCAAGATACTTTCGATTATAAATATTATATTAGAAATTCTTTTAGAATTTCATTAAAAATAGTATTATTATTTATTATTCTGCTTTATCGGTGTAATGATTTATTGTTCTGTATATTTTGGATTAGGGATGCTGCTTTTCTCAAAACAGTTGAATATATTCAATTTAATCTGAAGTTTTATGAATTGATTTTCAAAATTAACTTTGAGGACCAGGTAAAAATTCAGAAACTATCGATATCCAAAGTAGAGGCCTGCATGAATGTATTTATTTCAAAACTTACAGTACTGTACAGCTGTACACGGTACTCACATTTAGTGTACTCATACAATATTGTAGAGAGTACCCACTCTACCGATAGTAACTGAGTACACTATTTTAGAGTTGCAACACTTTTTTAATACTATGTGTACGCTTCTCAATCTGAACAATACTATGAGTGTCGCCTCAATTACTATTGTACAGTACTGTACTCTGAGTAAAAAAAAAAGTGCAAATTTGTATTGCAATAGCCCATCAGAAGACGAAGACTCCATAACTCAATCTAATCCACAAATCGATCCTGTTTTTGAAGACTACACTCAACCAATCCAAAGCAATAGCCTTCATAATACAATTAATGATGAAATCGAAACATATAAACACGTTAAAATCTCGTACAGTGACGACTTTAATGTCCTGCAATGGTGATTTAATAATAAGAAAACATTTCCATTATTATACAAACTAGGCCTACAAATCTTAGCGGTCCCAGCAAGTAGCGCTCCGTCGGAGAGGGCGTTTTCAATTGCAAAAAATCCAACTTCCGCAAAGCGTTCCAGAATTGCTTCGACTGAAGACATGGTCAACAAAATAATGTATTTAAACCAGGGACCGTAAATAATCATTATTTGAGATTTTTATCCCTGATTTAAACTCCAACATAGACAGCATTAATGAAAATGTTTTAAATAGCGATTAATAAATTCGTCAATATTTTATGACTAACGACACTTTCTCTCTTTCATTAGGTTTTAAGTGATTCTGCTAGTGGATAGATTACAATATTACAAAGAAATAAGCAAGCTTTAACATTTTATAAATTCAGTAGGCCTTGTAATTTTGGGTAAAGTTCATTCACTGTACAATGAGTTATTGTACACCAAAAACACTGTATTCACAATATACTGTACTGTGTCTGGAAAAGTGAGTACAGTATTTGGCAATACAGTCACAAGTACTGCATTCACTCATATTTAAAGTAATGAATACAGAAAAACTTATACAAGTTTTAAGAATGAGTGATTCATTTGTCAGTTTGAATGCATTCATGCAGACCTCTAATCCAAAGACTTGAGCTGCAAGGGTCTCAAATCTTCTAAAACAGCGGTCGGCAGCGCCCTATTAAGTGAGCATAGGGTTTTGTTCTGCCGGCGCGCTGCTCGCACATGTATAACGTAGAACAGCGGTCTGCACACACACATCAATGAGCTGCGCAGTGCAAATTACTCATTCAAATAATAAACAAAATGTAATTGGATGTGTGTGCCGACCGCTGTTCTAAAAGTTGATTTTAACAATCTAAAAAAAAAGATTTTTTTAAAGAAGGTTGTGCGCTTTAGACTTGTATTTTCAATTTCAGTTGGCAAGGTTCGAGTTGTAAATTTGACAAAAATTGTAATTGTCAAGAGAACGAAGCATTGTTTGAGGTCGTTTGTAAGGTTCTTCTTAAATAAATAGGTCTATTTGAACTGATTTACCATTATTTGGCGAATGTTTTTTCAAAATATGTACATAACATTTTCAGGATCAGCTGGGAATATTTAATCGTAAATTTTATAGAAATATAAAGAAAATAAAAATATTCTGTAGTGTTAATTCCTGATCATTTTAGTTTAAGATATTTTATTATGTTGGTAAATTCTCCATAAGTCTGCGATTATCGTTACAGGTTAAAACATCCACGGGCAACCACATCATCAGTGTCCAGGACGATGGTCATATGAGCTCCAGCTACGGAATCTGCGATCAGTCTATGGAAACGGAGCGCCAGTGAGAAAGAGGATTCTCGGATAGCCAGACAGGGAACTCTCTGTCTGTACTAAAAAAGAAATAAATAACTAATCAATAACAAATCAATTGATTGATCAAGATGAGTGTGATTATTCGGTTACAAAATCTGCCGTGGACGGCAAATGCGCGCGACATTCGAAACTTCTTCTCGGGCCTCTCGATTCCCGAGGGCGGTGTCCACATTATCGGCGGCGAGATGGGCGACGCTTTCATCGCTTTCAGGTAGTTAGCCACAATCTCTGATCTATACGTAAACGTAAACCTATAGCAATCTCGGAGCTCCAGCGGGTCTGGACTTGGGTCGGGGCCTGAGCCTCTCCTGAGTCGCTGCCGGGCTCTTTCCAATTCAAGCATGTATCTCTATCCACAGCAGCGGTCAAAATAATAGCACTAAGAAATTATATAATTATATACTAAGCCAGTGGTTATATGGACTATGAAAAAAAGGTAATATCAGCCCTAATAATGCGTCCTTGCAGGTATTCTGTTCCATCAAGTGATCTTTTATAGCAGTGCCATGTTAAAAAAAAGGAATATAAAATGATTGAATAATTCCATGTTATGGAAAACCTGAAAAATTAACATTGCAGAAAGAAAAATGGTGCTTATTATATGATAAGACAATATATTACTAACTGTGAAGCAGAAACCATTTTAGGCAAAAACATTTTAAATAGGAAAGTTTCATAAAATTTGTTTCATATTGGATGGCACCGAAGTAAGTACGGCCAAGTATTAGAAATCGACAAAGTAGTAAAACTTGAACCATGAAACCTTAACCTTCTTTGGTTCAAACTGGAATCATTAAATAGTTAAAGGAAAGCACAGATTATCTTAACTTTAAAGGTCGCATAACTCGTCCGTGAGTTAATTTATAATTAGGCTTTTTGACCTAAAAGTGTACGCCAAATTTAACCTGCGGTCGAGAAAAAGGCCCTTGAAGGACTTACACTATCTTGTCCTTAAAATCTTCTAGACGTCAAGATTTTCAGTTTTAAATTAGATATTACGTCTGTTGCTACATCATTTAAGTATATTCTTTTACGGAATTTGGATTGTCGTTTATCACAATGTTAGACGGATCTTTTTCGACACTTTAAAATTAAAAGATTGGAACAATATCCTTACTTTCAGATTGGTAAGGTTGGCTCTTCTGTTTATATATGAACAGCGTTTAAAACAATGTTATGTATTGGTTAAATGGTTAAAAGGTTTAATATAACAACATAACATTATTGATTTTTGTTAATTTGACTTAGGAACTCTAGATATTTTTTCAAATTGAATTTAAATTTTAACCAGTTTTTAATGCAAACCAATTTATTTTTAATGTATACTAGAGTTATGAGGTGTGAGTAGGTTTAAAAAGGGGAATACCAGCAGATAGATCATACAATGACATGTTGGAATATATGCGATATGCGAAAGTCGACCACTGTTCTATAGTGTGTGCTGGCAGAGTGCCGGCAAATAAAAGGTTTACCACATGGGGTAATTCTATCGGCGACCACTGGTTTAAAGTTTAACCCGATTTATTATAGACGTTTTACAAGGGTATAAAAGTTGATAGCTAAATCCCGGTACTTTTTATAGAAAACTTTGAGTTACAGCAGTGGTTATAGACTAGGCTGTCCTTAAAACTAGAAAAGTATTCATAATATTTTCTTTGAAACTGTCAACGAAAAAAAATTTTTCCAGTTGGAAACAATGCTCACTGGATGAAGAAACGAGTGCACATACACGTATTAAATATGGAAATTTTAGGCTGAATATTATAGATCCCTTGGAAAAATATCCGGATGGAATGAATGAAAATACGGTGCTATTATTTTGACTGCATGAAATACTTTAAAATACTGGCTGATGACAACCGGTGGAAAATCAAACCTGCCGAATTCCCGAAAAGGACTTCGAATATTTGCTCCCTATTAAGAAACTCCCCTGATTTTTTGCCTTTTTTTTTCTCCCTATTCTGATTTAATAATATAGCACCGATGAGGATGCCCGCTGCGCAATGTTGAAGGATCGCGAGAAGCTGATGGAGATCCAGGTGCGCCTGCTGCTCTCCTCGCGGGCCGAGATGCAGAAGGTGATCGAGACGGCACGCAAAGGAGCCTCCGCTCCGGCGCCCATTTCGGTGCCAGTTCCCATGCCAGTGGTGGCCAAGCCAAGTCCAGCTGCTCCCATGCCGCCGATTATTGGGGGTTTGAACAGCTTCCTGGGACAAAGTAAGGTAGCAGCAGGAGGAGGAGGTGGTGTGCCCTCCTTCCTGGCCTACCAGCAGCAGGCGGGGATCACGCTCTCCGAGGTGACAGGAGGAAAAGGTCGTCGCAGTCGCAGCCGCTCCTCCAGTTCCGATGATAGCGATAGGGAGAGGGAGCGTGAACGTGAGAGGGAACGGGAACGAAATCGCAAACGTCGCTCGGATCGTTTGGATAGCAGCCAGGAGAGGGAGCTCAAGATGGCCACTCCATCGCCATGGGCTCAACCTTTGGGTTTGAGCCTCCAGATGCCAGCGGTTGTGCCCTCGCTGCAGAGCTACTCCACCAGCAGCACCGTGAACAACGTGACCAACAACTATAATCTGGCACCAAGTGCTCAGGCTCCGAATCCCAGTGCCCAGCTCCTAGCTGCTCTACAGCAAGTGGCCAGCGGTGGATCACCAGCTCAAGCGCAGCCTGCCAAACCAGAAGGCGAACCGATAGCCTTTGCCAGCGTGAATCCCTATGCACAGATGTATCCGCAGCTCTTTCAGCAGCAGCAGCTGCTCCTCCAGCAGCAACAGGCGCCCGCGAAGGTGTCACCCTCCATTGGTGGCTCTCCAGGAGGAGGAGGAAATACCCCGCAGGTCATTGCAGACACCTGCTACATTCGCATCAGTGGCATGTGCCAAAGTACCTCGTACAGCGACATACGCAAGTATTTCCAGGGATTGTATATCCCGCACAATGGCATCAAAATCATGATGGCGAATGGCAATCGCACTGGCGTGGCCTACGTGGAGTTCTCCCGGGTGTCCAGTGCCCAGAAGGCAGTGCAGCGGAATAATACCATGTTTCGCGATCGCCTGATTCAGATAGCTCCCGTGGGCGATGAGGAATTCGAGCAGGCGGAGGAACGGGCCAATCGCCAGCAGAATGAGGGCAATAACAGGAGTCACAACGGTGGAGAGAGGAGTGATCGTAGCAGTGCCATGCCCATGCCCATACCCCTCACCAATGTCCTGTTTATCGAGGATCTGCCGCAACTCACCACCGAGCAGGAGATCATGAAGATGTTCTCCGCCAGCTACACCGTGGTGGACATTCTCCTGTCTCCCAGTCCCAACAATCGTCGCGAGTGCGTGGCCTTTGTCCTGTTTGCTCGCGAGGCTGAGGCTGAGGCCGCCCTGCAGGATACTAGCAAGCACTACATAGGCTTCCGTCAGCTGCGGGTGAGGCCCAGCAGTCAGGCGGAGATGGCGAATGCCAAGGAGAAGCAGCGCAGGGCCAATGAGCAGTTGCTCAAGGAGGAGGCTGATCAGCGGGATGAGCTGTTGAAGGATCAGCAGAGAAGACAGAAGATGCAGCAGGAGCAGGAGAACCAGCAGCAGCAGCAGGCCAGCAGATTCGCCGCTGATCCCAGAAGACGCCAGGCGGAAGAGCAACAGCAGCAGCAGCTCCATCAACAACAGCAGATGAATATGGCTCCCAACTTTAATCCCAATATGATACCTCCCTTTGTTAATAACGGCAACATGCAAATGCCCTTTAATATGCCACCTCAGCAGCAAAACGGAGGCAACAACAGCTACCCCTTCAACATGAATAACAATATGAATAATAATGGGATTCCCAATGGCAATGGACCCAATTTTCCCAATGATAATCAAGGCAACATTCAGCGTCCTCGCCAGGAGGACGTCTTTGTACGTGTCCACAACTGCGAATATGCCACCAGGGTCAATGATCTGGGTGAACTCTTCTCCATGGAAAACCTGCGCATCGAGCATATCGAACAGCTTTTCAACGAACGTAACCAGAGTTCCGGCGAGTTTATTGTGGAGTTTTGCGATCCCGCCAGTTGCAAGCAGGCCATCCGAGAGTTTCACAATCGACGCTTTCGGGGAAGGGGATTGCGAGTGGTGGCCATCACACCGCAGGAGATTGCGGATAGAATGAATAAACCCTTTATGGATTATCTCCCCGGAGGCAATGGACCCAGGGGAAAGGTAGAAAGCAGCAATGTGAGTGAGCCGTCGAGTGGCAATGGAGGTCAGGCGGCTCCCCCTTCACGTCGTCGCGGACCCAGTCGCTTCGATCAGCCGCAGGATCAGCAGTTACCAGAGAAGGTGGAGCGACAGCAGTCGCTGGAGAAGGACGAGAACAGCAATGGCAGCTCGAATGCCCCGGTGAAACAGCACTTCAATCCCTTCGCTCGACCGGATCCTCCGCTGAGCAGCAGCTCCCTGTCGCCCCGAATCGAAAGTCAAGGCAAACAGGCCTCACCGGTGCCCGTGGCCACCTCCCAGATCCCCGACAAGTTCAATCGTCCCGGCTGCGTGGTGGCCATGCGAAATGTTCCCTTCAAGGCGGAACTAAAGGATATCCTGCGCTTCTTCGGCGACTACAAGCTGAGTCCAGATGACATCATCAGGCGCTTCAATGATGAGGGAAAACCCACAGGGGATACTCGGGTGGCCTTCGAGAATCCTTCGGAGGCACGTTCCGCTTTTGAATCGCGCCGAAGGAAGCAGATATTCAATCGCACCGTTTACCTGGATATTATTTAGGCCATCGACTGTTTGACCATCGCTAGTGTACATTGTAAATAAGTAATATTAAGACTAACACCAAACATATTAATTATAAACTATAAGTTGTGAACGGATTTTCAGACTGTTTCACTTTGCATGTACATAGAATTGTTTGAATAAATCTAAAAACCATGTAAGACAAAGCGAATAATCCTCTAGATTTTTAATTTAATTTGTTTGAAACATTTTTTTTTTTATACAATACCCAAATTATCATAAAAACCTTTTTAGAAAATAAGTTTACTTTTATTTTTTTAAGCAAATCCCAAACTTGTATAAGTTTTTTCAAAAATACTTTAATATTAAGTTCATAAATGTAAGATTGTAAGTCATAACAAAATAAAACTTTGTTAAAAATGTTATAAAACCACCAAATTATTTGCCCAAAACTTAGGATCCTTAATTGGAATTAGAGCCCTGCATGAATTTTTAATTTTTGTAGTGTGCCATGAAATTTTGAATTCATTCAATTCAATAATAAATTCAATTAACTGAATTTAAATTGAGTTGAATTTTAATTTAACTTAAAATTCAAAAAACCATTTGAAATGAAATTAAATGACATTCAAATTCATTTTGATTGAATGGAAATTTCGGAAAAAAGCAAAATAATTCATTGAATCCATTCATGCAGGGCTCTAATTGGAATAAGTGTTCCCATCAGAATAATAAAGTATATGAATAAAAGTATTCATTATACATGTACTTTATAGGTCCAAAAATACTCTCCATAACACATAGAATAACACAACCTTAATCCAATCTTAGGCATAGTTCTGTAGTTGTATCACTTGTGACTTCTTCAACGACTCCCGGCACAAGGGACACTCGTCCCGCTCCTCCAGCCACCCGAGCAGGCAGCTCCAGCAGAAGATGTGTCCGCAGGGAGTCAAACTGCTATTGCTGCGTGGTTCCAAACAAAGAATGCACTGCGGGGCATCCGGATCTGCATCCTTTTCACTCGATCCCCGTTGCAGGAACTTCTTGCCGACCTGCTTAATCTCCTCCAGCTGCTTTCGCTTGTGCTCCCGCCAGGCATCCCAGCCACTGATGGCCAGCGAAACGCTGACCTGCAGGAATGTGATCACCCCCAGGATCTTGTAGCCGTAGAGCGAGAATTCCGGCTGCAGCCAGTGGCGGATGAGGACGTAGTTGATGCCGGTGGTGCGCTTGGACAGCTGGTACTTGCCGGCGTCCAAGTAGAATAGTGATTTGTGCAGGGCCTTCACATAGCTGGGCGAATGCCTCAGTCTTTGAATGATCTTCTTGAGCTGCGGCTTGGCCTCCTCTCGAATCTCCTCGTGCTCGGCCACATAGGTGTCCAGTTTTTGCAGCAGTCGCTGGAACAAGGAGTCGCCTCCAAACTCCAGGACAATGGCTATGAGTTGCAACTAGAAATAAGAGGAAATCTTAGGAATTTTTATATAAAATGGGTTTATATTTACTCACCAACCGACTGGGAATCTGCTTGTAGTTTCCATCCACCTGTATGATCCCCGTGTACTCCTCGCCCAGCGTCTGCAGGCTATTGGCCGAAGCGAATCCATGGTAACTCAGCTCCGCCAGCAGCCGGCACATCTGGTTGTACTTTATCCAGTTCCTCGGTCCAGTGAGACGCAGTACATCGGAGAAGTCTTCGGCCAGCTCGTTGGTGTACCGGGCATCCTTCTGCACGGATCTCACGATCTCCGGCTGCCGGGCACGGGCATTCCGAAAGTCCATGGTGATGGATAGTGAGTGGTTAATGGAATGTTGAATTTAACATATTTTAGCCAAAGGCCGATCAAAGTGCGGCCAAGATAACAAAATCAGCTGTTTGGTGTGGGTTGACTGCCTAATTGAGAGGGCACTTTAACTAGGAGTATTGTAGCGATATCTTTCAGCACTGAATTTTAGAGAGGAAAGTTATAACGATAGTTAAAATAATATATGGTTAATAAATTTAGTTTTAAAAATACAAAACAACTGTATTCATTCACATTTAAAAAACAGTATTTTTCATTATCGAATTAAATGTTGATCTAAAAATTAATCTTATCCATCAATAGCATCAATTAACATTTTTATTTATTAAACACGATCCATATTAAAAACTTCATAGTATAAGTATGCAATCCAATTTGCCATTTGTTTTTCAATCAAAATTACTTGTAATAATTTGCATATTCAATAAACCCATGCGATAGTTTCAACAGTCACGACCCGTAACCGTCCACCTCTAGCTCACGAAACCACACTTTCCAACACTTACAGTCAGCCATTTTTCACTAGGCATCGCGGATGCTTTTTCTCCCTGACCAAAGGATATTTGGTTTTTCCATCAAAATTCGTTGATTTCGAGACGTCAAATCGAAACCCCCCATAAACGAGATTGTCTACCGGCAGCGTGTGTGCAATTGGCAAGTGGATATTGTCGGAAAGGGCAAGTTTTAGACCCCGAAAAAGCAGCCATCAGCAGACGTCACACCTTTTCAGGCCACCACACCAATACGATTACAGTTACTAATACCACGATCCACAGACTAATCCAACAACAACAAAACAAGTGCTAGCAAAAGAAGAAGAAGAATTAGCAAAAGCAAAGTCAAAGTACTTAATTTAGTACTTTCGCCTCGAATTTAACTGCATTTCCTCGCGAAAGCCGCATTGAATTTATTTGGAAATATTACGCAAGTACTATTTCTAGTCGTACCCGTTGGTTAATCATGGCTCAGTAAACATGAATCCGCAACGAGAATACTTTGCTCAACGCACTCCGTGTGGAGACCAAGGCAAGACGCAATTAGCTGCCCACTGGCAGCTGCCCATCTATACTAGTAGTACTATTTCCGATCCCAAGTGCCCCCATAACCATAACAACAACGATGGACAGCAACAGCAACAACAACAGCAGCAAGAAGCAGCCTCAATCCTCCAATCATCATGCCAAGTCCTCGTCTGGTGAATCATCGCAAAGGAAGTCAAGTGGTGGGTGTTTTAATATTACTCTAGATATCTACACATTTTTTCCGTCCAAAACTGATTTTTCCGGCTTTTTCTTATAAAAGATAGGGATATCTTTGATTCTTGACGACTTCTTGTTTTAATATCATATGATTCCATAGTATTCTCGTCAAATATTTTGGGAAAGGATCATATTACAACATAACCTTTGTAATGAAATAGTTTTTTAGGACTACTGTAGTCGATATTCACCCAGTTATTCCACAGAACTGTAAATTTTCTTATACATGATAGGGTGTCTTTGATTCTTGACGATCTGTTGCTATAGTATCATATGATACCATTTTAAATAGTATTCCCATCAAATATTTTGGGATAGGCTCATATTACAACATAACCTTTAAGATGTAATAGCTTTTAAGCCTAAATCATGATCAACATGACAAATCCTCGTCTAAAGATCCTAATATATTTGGAATACTTTATGTAATATTTCCTTAGATCGAATGTTCTTAATTTAAAATGGTATTCCCATCAATAGGATATTTGGGATAGGATCATATTTCAACAGAACCTTTAAGATGAGATAGTTTTTAAGACTAAATCATGATCAATATGACAGATCCTCGTCTAGTGAAACTTAAGATCCTAATATATTTGGAATACTTTATAAAAAATTTCCTTAAATTGAATGTTCTTAGTTGGTAGATTAAAAAATATTTCGGATTAAATAGGATTTATTCTCTGGTTATAAAAATTATCACTTAATTTTAAGGGAATTTATGGATATGAAAGGGAATTCTCACTTTCCACCTATAACCTATTAATATCCTTACTCACCCTTCTCCCTCCCTCTTCCAGACGTACATGCCAACGGCAACAAGCAGCGGAACAACCGCCGACGGGAGCAGCTTCCCACACCACGCAACGATCAGCAGCAGCGCAGCGCCAGGCAGCAGCAGCAGCAACAGCAGGCCCAGCAGCCGGCCAAGCTACGTCCGAATGTGGACAAGCGACCGAGGGCTCGCGGGGGCGGGGGATCATACGATTTCCCAGCATCCCGCGGCGAGGACGGCGCTCCAGGCGGCTCCCGACTAGCCTACGCCGGCGCCGGCTACTCACGTGGCGGTGACTTTGACCATGAACTGAACTCTGTGTACGCACAGGGCAGCAAGAAGCAGAATCTGAACCATCTGCTCAACTTTCACTGCGTGCCCAGGGAACTGGAGCGCGGGCATCACCAGCAGCAGCAGCAGCACGGCCACCTGGGCGTCCGAAAGCAGCGCTACAACAAGGAGCAGTTCCTGCAGGCCAACTGCCAGTTCGTCATTCGATCGGGGGCCAAGGCGCAGGTGAATGGCTCGCCGGATACGCTCATCGATTGGAGCTACATCGAGCAGATCAACATCCAGACCACCGAGGAGTTGCAGTGCCCCATCTGTCTGTATCCCCCGGTGGCGGCTAAGCTCACTAGATGCGGACATGCCTACTGTTGGCCCTGCTTACTGCACTATCTCTCGCTGAGCGACAAAACCTGGCGCAAGTGTCCCATCTGCTATGATGCCATTCATGCTGGAGATCTGAAAAGCTGCACCATCGAGCAGCAGATGGATTGGCAAGTGGGCGAGAGAATTACCTTTCATTTAATGCGGCGCCGCAAGGGCTCCATGTTTATTGAAAAGCATGCTGCAGGTTTGGGCGAAACCTTTGAGCGATTCCCCTTCGTTTCGGCTGCGGAAGAGGCTAGACGCTACTCCAAGTTTCTAATAGCCAAGCGGTCGGATGTGGGCGCCATTATCGAGCGGGAGCGTTGCGAACTGCTAGCCGAATCGGATGACTCCTGTCCGGAGGATGTGTTCATCCAGCAGGCGCTTGTGATGCTTAAGGAGCGTGGCGAAAAGTTGGGTCTCGAGAAACTCGATCCCCGAGAGGAGGAGGAGGAAGTAGCACAGGCTCATAGCCTAGAAACTGAAGCCAAGATTGATATTGAGAAGCCAGACGATGCCTCCATCTCCTCGGGAGAGGTATCATCCAGCAGCCTGAGCTGCTCATCAAACAACCACAATAAATATTATTATTTCTACCAATCCAACGACGGACAAAACATCTATTTGCATCCCTTGAATGTGAAGATGCTGCAGGCCTGCTATGGCACCTTGGATTTGGGTCCACTACTCATCGAGGCGCAGATCGTGCAGATGGAGCAGCACTCTATGGACGAGGACCATCGTCGCAAGTTCACTTGTCTCGGTCATTTGCCTTTGACCTGCCAGTTTTCGGTTGTGGAGGTCGAACTACAGCCGCCAACTGTTTCTGGAGGAATACTCAAGCTGTTCAAAGGTGAGTTTAATTTTTGTTCATGTGAATATATAACCTAAACCACATATTTATTTTCTCTAGAGGATATTCTTCATCGCAAGAAGGAGCGCCTGCGCCGGGATCGTGAGGAGCGTAAGCGAGAGCAGCACATCAACGAGATCAATGACCGCCAGATGGGCAAACTAATAGCCAGTGCAGCTAACCTCAACCTAAGCTCCTCCCATGAGTTTCCCACTGTAAGTATCCATTAACTACTTATGATTTTCATTATTAATGTATAGTTTTCTTTGCAGTGCGGCTTCGAGGAGGCTTTGCCCAGTCCCAGTGGCTCTGTGCCCGTGGTTATCAGCCACCAGGAGAGCAGCTCCCGCTACTCCAGCGTCACTCAGGCCAGCGCCAGTCCCAAGCAGGAGCTGTGGCCCACTATTGGAAGCGGATCGCCTGGCAGTGGTGGTGCTGCATCGCTGGATTTCCAGGTGGGCGCCTGGGGACGCTCGGCTCCGCCGCCGCCACGTGCTGTTGTGGCGCCAAAAACCGGCGAAGAGGATTCCGAGCAGCGATCTGTAGGCCACTGGGGTTTGGGAGAACTTCTAGTAGGAGCCTTGGACCAGAAGAAGCAAAAGGTAGGAGGCGGAAAGGCCAATGCAGCTGCTCCCGCTGAATCCAAGAAGCAAAAGAAAGCCAAGGGCAAGAAAATGGTTCCCCTGTTTGCCACCGGCATGAACAGAGCTCCATGAAGGATTAGAGTAGAGCATCGAAGTTATCAAGTCTACAAGATTTATTGTACTTTTTGTTTCGATGCGAATATTTCAACGTTATTTCAAATAACAAACACGCGATTGTTCTTTCATTAGGGAGGATTTGAAAAATCATTCAGCTAAACTATAATTTAACCCAACTTATATTCACATTACTCACATAAGCATAACCAATAAAGGCAGCAAGTAAAATATCAAATGTTATAATCTTTTTTTTGATTTGTAAATCAAAGAGAATCTATTTTAAACTGGTGTTGATTGACATTCAATTGACCCCTGATTGTTGGTTCTTTCGCTAGCTGTAGCCCCAAATGGAAGTATTATTGAATTACAAACAAATTAATTTACATTTGAAAGGATAGAAAGAGTGATGATGGGAATTTAAAGGTCGTCAGTCGCTGCGTCGCTCGTACTCGAGATCTTCAGCTTCCACCTCGTTGTTGGCACTTGGAGAAGGGTTCGTTTGAACGCGTCGCCTTGGTTTTCTGTTGAGTGAAGCCCCCGTTCCCGCTCCATAATCCGGCGGCAGCTCCATGTACTCATCCTCGGAACCTGCTTCTCCATCTGTTGTATCATCGCCGTTGATAGAGCCATTCGGACTGCCCGGCGGACTTAGAGCCTGAATGAGCCTGCCCTTGGACTCGTTCCACAAGCTGTTCAGTCGTTCCTTTCCAAACAGCAGCAGGAAGGCATCGATGAACTCGCGCGACTTCTCCTCCCACTTGGTAATGATGTCCACCTTCACCTTGGTCAGCTCCCGCTTTCCCCGTGTCTTCAGCTCGTCCATCTTGTTCTGCAAGCGGAATTTCTTCTCGGAGAGAAACGACACATTCAGCTCCTTGGCCGAGTAACCTCTGGCCAGATTCCGGCGCACATACACATCGTAATCCTTGACAATCCTGGCCACTATATCCGAGGTGGACACACCCTCGGTTCTCTCGGTGACCACAAACATTCCCTTGGCCTTGAAAGGAGCATAGATGTCGTCGAGGCCGCCAGCTCCATAGGGCAAGTCATCGTGGGCCACAAAGTCGATCTTGTGCTCATTGAGGTACTCCTCGTTTATTGACCAAGGAGCATTGGGGACGATCTTTGGGAAAATAAGGAGAAGTATTATTACATGGATATTTAAAAGTTAAACAAGATAGAACGCTATTGTCGGGTTGGTGTGCCGACTATCTAATACCCTTCACTCAGCTAAAGGAAGTGCGAGGGAGAAGGATATATGAAATTTAATTGCACATAACTTTTTAATGGGTGGTCCGATTTGAAAATTTTCTTCTACATTTCGATAGGTATAAATATTCACAACAAAATTGCATTTATACTTCTCGGAGATCTTTAAAGGTGTGGGCGCCAGACACATTTTAAAATCGTTAGTGGGCGTTAGAGTTCTCCCTGTTACATACTTTTGCACGAATACAATATACCCTTTTACTCTACGAGTAACGGGTATTCAAATATTTATAATTATCCTTTTATCCCCCTAGAAACTCACCTCATCCACATAGCGACAGTGGCGCACCGCCTCGTACCGCTCGAATCCATTCATCACGGTGCGTCCCTTCATCCGGAGGGTCAGCTCATCATTGCACACGCCCACGATGAGATAGACATTGGGAAATATGTTCTTGGCCTGCATTAGCTGGCGGGCGTGACCCTGGTGGAACAGATCGTAGATGCCATCGGAATAGACCCGCACCCGACGATTGGTCTTGCCGGCTCTGGCCATCTGATAGGTGATCCTCTGTGTATAATCACACCGCTCCAGTTCCAACATGGCCTTGTCATCGTAGGAGAAAGGAGCTGGCTGGCAAATGTTCTGGAAGAATAATAATAGATTAAAACCCACGTCCTTTTTTGTAATTTAATTTCTATAAAAACATACACGCGAATTCTTAAGTTTTTCTTTTTAAAACTCTTTTACCCTTTCATCGAGCTTTTTATCAAAAAAAGAAGCAATCCACGCGAATTCTTAAGTTTGTTTGCACGTGTAATTTAATTTCTATAAAATGCCTCATCGTTTAGACTCACAAAATCCTCGAAATCCATGAAAAGCGGCAACATCTTGAACTCCAGCGGCGATGTGGGCGTGGCCGGAGCCGTGGACACCGGTGATGCCTCCTCCTCTTCGGGCATTTTGTCCATTTCTTACACAGAAAATATATTAGCTCTAAGTACAACACAGAAGTGGTCCGCTCGAGGGGCTTTCAGCCGGACGACTGATTGTATAAATTGAGACGGAGCCGGCATAGAACACACCAGTCTACTCTGTCGAGGATTGTCGAGTTCTGAGTCTCTGAATCTGAGACTCTGAGAGATGTCCGCCAACTGCGCACTAGCGGCGATCAGAATAAATTGGCGGCAACTGGTGGCGAATCAATACAATTGAGTCCGGAGGCTGGCGAGGCACACGACTTGGTTGCGCTTGCTTCTAGGCCCGGATTCATTGCTCATCTTCAATTGCCGCAAATTGAGGCGCAAACAAATAGGAAGCGGCGACATGTCGCCTGACTTGGCACGGGTCCGTCCGCCCATCCATCCATCCGATCAGGCGATGGGCATGCAGCAGCTATATATAAACCGCAGCGCTATTAAACAAATCAGTGAACCGCTTCCAGCCGGTGAATGGATTGCGAAGGGGAATTGGAATGGGCATGGGTGTCCAATCAAGGCGAACGGTTTCATCATCGGTGGCGGGCGCAAGAATTCCGCAATTGCCATACATAGGCGAATGAATCGGAGGCGCAATTGCTGGAGAAACATTTGACTACCCAAGCTTGTGGGAATGATGCAAGTATTAAGTGGATAATTAATGGGGATTCACTATTTTTTTTATGCACTTTCATCTAAGTTTCATAAAGAGAAGGAATCTACGCGAATTCTTAAGTTTGTTTGCACTTGTAATTTCATTTCCATAAAAACATACACGCGAATTCTTAAGTATTTCCGTTTAAAACTCTTTGGCGAGATTTCTAACAAAATAAGAAGCCATCCACGCGAATTCTTAAGTTTTTTTCGGACAGCTAAAATTTAAATTCCATGAAAACATCCACGCGAATTTTTATGTTTTTCGTTTCAAAAGTCTTTTTACCCTTTTAGATTTATCCAAAATTTAACAAATTTATTTTTTCGATTCAATGTTTATTTTTCAAAAAATATTTAACAAAGCATTTGCAATAATTCCGCTATTGCCAACTGTTTTTCTTGTATTTTTTTCGTATTTTCCGAATGCGTTTTGTTTGGTTTTCTCTACAATTGGTTGGTGTTCTTGTTGTTGTTGTGTGTTTTTTGTTAACTTAGTTTAATGTTATGCGAAATAATTTAATATAAATATTTCTAGATATTTTGCGGCACCTGGAACTTATTTTTGGTGCACAATCCGCCGAGTGCCTAATACAAAAATGAGTCTTTTCTGCGTTGGTTGCTTGTCCACAAACCCACACACAGCTGAATTAGCTACAGGATTCCCTCGATTCTCAGAAGATTGAATGATGGAAAGGTGGTTTCTTTTGGTGTGGAGGAAGGAGGAGAACGCGAGTGCCAACTAAAACTAGGGGATTACAGTACCACTTAGGGCTAGAGTAAATAGAAGTGGCTTCAGCCTGCGAGTGGCGATCCTGGGGCAACTCTAGATTGCGAGTGCCCATCGAACTAGTTGCAAACAAGTCAATTTACAATAGCTTCAAAGACAGTAAGAGAAGAAGAAAAGGTCGGGCTGCTGTCCCGCACTAGAATCAATCGCTGCGCCGCTCGTACTCCGCATCCTCCTCGCCATCCGCATCCACTAACTCCGGTGATCGGCTCTGCAGACTCTGGTAACTGCGACGGGCCAGGGAGGAGCGCTTCTGTTTGCCATTCAGGGAGCCACTGCTGCCACTGCCCTCGCTTAGCTTCTCGGCCAGGTAGTCGTCAATAGTTTCGCTAAAGTCCTCGCCGCCCTCCGTATCATCGCCATTCACCGATCCCGACGGACTGCCCGGCGGACTGAGCGCCTGCAGCAGCTTGCCCTTCGACTCGTTCCACAAGTGATTGAGGTTCTCGCGTCCGAAGAGCAGCAGGAAATGGTCGATGAACTCGCGTGACTTCTCCTCCCACTTGGTGATGATGTCCACCTTCACCTTGCTCAGCTCCCGCTTGCCGCGCGATTTCAGCTCGTCCATCTTGTTCTGCAGCCGGAATTTCTTCTCGGACAAGAACGAAACGTTCAGCTCCTTGGCCGAATAGCCTCTGGCCAGATTGCGGCGCACATACAGATCATAATCCTTCACAATCCGCGCCACAATGTCCGAGGTGGACACGCCCTCGGTTCTCTCGGTGGCCACAAACATGCCGCGCGCCTTTAGCGGAGCATAGATGTCGTCCATGCCATCGGTTCCATACGGAATGTCGTCGTGGGCCACGAAATCGATTTTGTTGTCGGCTATGAAATCATCGGACAGCGTCCACGGTGCATTCTGGACAATCTGCAAGGGGCAAACAAGCGTGTTATTCAGTGATAAATCTAATCGAAGCAAGGGAGAACCCACCTCATCCACATAGCGGCAGTGACGCACTCCCTCGTATCGCTCGAAGCCGTTCATCACGGTGCGTCCCTTCATGCGATGGGTCAGCTCATCGTTGCACACGCCCACGATTAAGTACACGTTGGGAAAGATGTTCTTGGCCTGCATTAGCTGGCGGGCATGGCCCTGGTGGAACAGGTCGTAGATGCCATCGGCGTAGACCCTCACGCGGCGGTTCGTCTGGCCGGAGCGGGCCATTTGGTAGGTGATCCGCTTAGTGTAGTCGCAGCGCTCGCGCTCCAACATGGCCTCCTCGTCGTGGGAAAAGGGCGCCGGCTTGCAAATGGTCTGCAACAAATATAAAACTATTAGTTGGGTCTTTTTAAGTGGGCTTTAGAAAGTCTTCTGCCTACACAATCCTCCTCTATCTTGTTACACATGGCTAATAATTCTTCTTATACGTATAAAATATATCACTAATATTTGAATAGTTGTTTGAAATGACTTATAGAACTGTTAGGTTCAATAGGTTACTAAAGATTGTTAGCATTGTAAAATATTTGTGTAAAAAGCTATGAATGTCTGATGAAATTTATAGCTTTGATAGGTTTTATATGCCTTATAAATAACATTTTAAGCAGGACATTTAAAGCATGTAAATCGTATTTATCTATAAGTTATTTTTATAAAAAATGAATCCCTAATAAATACAATTTTTTATTCCATAACTTACAAGTTATATAAATTAGATAATCTAATAAGTCACTAATATTTGGAAATTATTTTAAATGATTTATAGATTTCTCAGGATACTATAGATTATAATATAATAATTATTTCTGTTACAGGACATTCAACGCATGTAAATCCTATTTATCTATAACTTATTTTCAAACAAAAATGAATCCCTAAAAAATAAAATTAATGTATATCTGATGGAACTTATCGAATTTCAGGGTTTTCTAATGCCTCGTAAACACTATACATATTTAAACAGGACTTTTTAGGCTTATAAATCATATCTAATCATATCTTAATCCCTTATCTTTATCCCAAAACCTTTAAATGCTCACCGCAAAATCGGAGGCACCGCTGCCGTTGAAGAACTGCTGCGAGGTGGAGGCGGGAACCACCAGGGGCTCGGGCGACGTCTGCTGCTGCGGCACGTACTTGCGCTTGACGCCGCTGAGGTAATCCGACGTGGAGGCGCCGGCGGCGATGGTGGGCAGCAGGTCCTCGGCGGCTGCCGCTTCGCCACCATCGTCGGCGTCGCTCTGTGAGATGGTTCGCGTGCTGTCCCGCAGGGTGGTGGCCGCAGTGGTGGGCTCACTGGCTCCTCCCTCGCTGACCACGAGGACGCTCTCTAGCTGACCCCCACCAACCCCATTCGATTTGGACTTTGCGGGGCTATTTGTGCGCTGATCCAGGACCTCCGCCGATCCCTTGGTGGACGAGGGCATGGCAATGGCTGTCTCGTAGGTCCGCTTCCGGGTGGTCAATGTGGAGGCGACTACGACGGGGGAGGAGGAGGCGGTGCTGCTGGGCGTGGCCGGTGGCGATGTGCTGTTAATTGTGCTTTTGGCGAGTATCGATGAGGTGGCCATCGCAGCGAATGTTTGGGAGCGGCAGTTTTAACGGTTTCGCAACACGGTGACACGCAGGAACAGAGATTCAATTCACTTTCAGCTGGAAAAGAGAGGGAAAATTAAATTGGTTAAATAAAATATAGTAAATCAATTGGATAAATATTAATATTGTTTTATTTCCTTTTATTATTTTCCCAATTTACCAGATTTATTGAAATTAAATCATGGAATCAATATCATTAAAAACCCTCACAAATATTTTTGTTGGTAAAATTTCGAACATAACATAACCCACCATTATGAAATTTGAAAGTTTTAGTTTGACCATTATTTTCTTTATTTTTGTGAATTTTGTTTTAGTGGCTAAACGTCATTAATCAATGTTATTTATTCATTAAATGTTTTCATAATCGGTGGTTCCCCGTTGCCCTTTGTTTTTCTTGTTTACTTGGTAAAAAAAGGTTTGGTACCATTTCTTAAAATTTTCCTATCAATTTCTACCTTATCTTTAAAAAGAAAATAAAATTTTTACTTCAAAGACCCAATTCAAATTGTTTTCCCATTAGTTTATTATTTAGGTATACATTAAATGGTACGCACATGTTTACTTAACAATTTATAAATAAAAATCCAATAAAGCGGTAAACATCTTGAAATAAACAAAATTATTTTTAAAATTAAATTGCATGCATTTGTGCATAAACAAAAACACATTAACTTGTTGAGGTGGTAAACAGAAAATCTTTTTTTTTATCCATTTATGAGGTGTAGCTTTTTTATGTGATAAGATATCAGATATCTCTTTTTATTAACCCAATTATTTAGAATTCGAGTTGCAAAATTTGGAATTATTTTTCGCTGACAGAAAACGTGACACCTGACCCAACTCCCCCTGCCACGCCCCTTTTACTTCCAAGTCGAGACGCGGCCAAAATCGATTTCGATTTTAATTGCCAAACGGATGATTTAATTTGCCACGCGCATCGAACCACAGAAATTCCCTAGAAATAAAGCGCAACTGAAACCGAAACAGAAACAGTTGGTAAACAAAAACAACAAGAGGCGAGAAGAGTAGGTAGGTGGGTAATAATAGAAACGTAGTATTCTCGGGAGCAGAGTGAGATGAGCAACTGAAGCAATGGGGGGGTGGGTTGGAGGGAAAGGCGGAAAAGTGGGCGACCGAACTAGTTCCGAGTGGCGCTGCACTTTACGTAAACAAGGGCAGACGGAACATTCGATGAACCAATCACCCAAAACTGGAGCCAATCCTCTACTGCTTTTCATGGTATACTATTTGAATCTCGGAAAAAGATTAATATTTTAGCTACCGGGAATTTTCTTGCGCTCATTCAATGACGAATTTCCTGAAGGTCGTCCAAAATCAGTTTTTGTGCCAAAAAATATCGATGCTGTGTGCGAAATGATTTAACAAGATCGTCATGTCGCATAATGGGGGCATATTTCAGTGATTACTATTTTTCGTATAATTATAAAAAAATATTTCGAGAAAAAAAGGACAAAATTAGACAAAAATTTTAACTAAAATAGTATTATATTTTTTAAATGTTGTGTCTTTTAAGCCAAATAATGTTTTAGTATTTGCTTTAAAAATATTTATGTTTATATTACTTGCAAATTTTATTTTATAATATATTTGTGTTTGAGAAACGTCTACATATATAGAATTTTAATAAAAATATTTTTATAAATACCTCTTTAAATTAAACATTTTTTTGTAATTATTTTTACTTTACAAAACATTAAATTTTAAGCTATGTATGTCACCCACTGTGCGGTCAGCTGTCTGGTGCGTGGTTAACAATAATTTTAACGTAGACAAACGATTTCTCATGTTTATTCATCATGGCACACATATCTATTTATCTATGTGGCTTACGTCGGAATATTTCTTGGCATTGGGAATACGTCAGAGTTTTCTACACATTTTGCTTTCCTTATCTTAAGATCCCCTCACCCTAGCAAACCAAACCAAAACGATTAGCGAAATTCCACTTGGAGACTCCCAAAATGAGCTGCATGGTGTGTTATTTTTGGGAGAGTTTTTTTATAGGTGTTGTTCAAGGTTTAATCGAGATCTGAGTCACTTGCAAACCGCTTTCAGTTCAAGTTCAAGAGATAAAAGTCCGAATAAGATGGGAACTGATGTAAGCTTTCTTGGGGGAACCAACCAAAATTTATTGAGCCTCTTAAGCATGCTAATTCTGTTGCCAAGCTGAATTTCGAGTAACAATTCAGCCATCTCCACCTGCGATACGTCGTAAGTCGACGTCGTACGATTTACAGTCGTTCCTCAATATAAGTTCACTTTTCAGCTCTTTAAAAATTGTGAAGGTTATTTAATAACATTTTACATAACTTTTTTTTATTCCTCAAACTTTAATCAAACTAATTATGAATAATAACAATATAAGTCACTATTTTCCTTCTAACATCTCCGATAATAAGAAATATTCTGAGAAAATCATACAAGTCATTCATTGCTCTCATAACGATAAAATGGTTTCTCTTGTTTCTGATATTATTTTAAAATTTCTGGAAAAAGACTTTTTTTTTTTAATTATTGGAAAACCAGAAGTGAATTATTGCAGCCTGAAATCACTTTTTTATTTTTTTCTTTACTCATAAGAACGGAAGTTTATAATCAATGCTGTCAAATCGGCTGAGATTATAAACAAAAATGATTTAACAATATGACTAAAAGTTTGCATGAGATATTAAATCACTTCTTATCATGATGATTATTAAAAAATGAATATTATAAAAGGGTAAACTATAATAATGCCAACATATCTAATCTTCCTTACGAGTCTCTACTGTAATGACTTCAGCTTTTTCACAAGAATGACGATGAAACGCCTCCAGCGAAGTGAATCGAAAGGTAAACAAAACCCGGAGAGAGTTCCATTTCGAAATGCGGGGGTGGACGAGTGGCCAAGTGGACGAGAGTGGACAAGTGTGGGACCCATAAAATCGATTGTCAAATTGCCGGGCTCTAAAAGCAGGTGAGCGATAAGATTTCCCTCTACCTGCTGTTAACTTATCTGCGAAAAGAACAATATTTGTGGGTGACGGGCGCTTCCGCTGCACTGGAATCGCAAATCGCGAAAATCGAAACACGATAAATGCTTTTGGCGGAAACGAGCGGTGTTTCTAGTACAACTACTACTTCCAGAGATAAGACGAACACAGGCTGAATTATACTTAATTATAGTGAGCACATAGCAAACTCACTCTCCAAGCCTCATAATCGGACGGTCCGATCTTGCCAGCCTGGCAAAACGGATGGAAATGGAAGGCAAAGTTCCCTATCAGTACGGGATTATTTCTTTATACTACCTAGTAGTACCTCGTAAGTACGTTTTTCCCCAGACGAAGGTCAGGCTAACCCTGTGACTATCAAATGTGTGAAAGAACTAGAAAGATGATTTTTAAATCGCCTGATTTAGTGTTATTACTGACATTACTAGCTTCTTTTTGACTTTCATTAAAATTATATTTGATAAGGAACTATAGGGCAATTTCATAAGATTGTTTCTTTGTAATAACAACAAATTTCTTTTAAAACTATAATACGAGTTTTAAAAGAAATTTGTTGTTATTACTCAAGAACTGTTTAGTTCGGTAAATATTTGATCAAATGGAAAAAATCACACAGATTAAACCTCTCTGTAATACAAACTTTAGAAAGGAACACACATATTTTTCTGCCATTATACACTCTTAATTGTTGGAATAATGATAGCTGTATTATTTTCGTACACTTTTTGTGTTACAAATGCGAGAACCGGATGTGTTGAGATTATACGAAATGATTTATTAAATTAGATCATCCGAGGAACGTGATCTCGTCATTAATAATTTGTTGTTTTTTGTTGATTCACTCTATGGACTATGCACTGTACCACATATTTTAGTATGGGGTTAAGCTTTCTAGCAGGCCAAAAACCTTTGGCGAATCTCACGGTGTAGTAGGAAATGATTTTGGAGTTTGCCTTTTGGCAGCTCGTTCGCTTTTGGCCAAGAGCGAAAGGTTGAAAGTACAGTTCTGAGTTGCGAACCCTCGAAATACATGGGAATCTCGAGGTTTATTCAAATCTCGCCTACGTACGAGTGTTTTCGCCATTGATAAGCTGCGATCGGTGGACAATAATACAATAATAGACTGAACGTGGGGTGTACTATACTCTCCAGTACTCTACATATATTTCCAGTGATAACCTTGTGGGGTCTTATCATTAATGGATGGAATACGCCGAAAATCGAGTTGACGTCAACTGTGATTTTTGGATGCTACGTGCTGGAATTAACTACCACTATCGTTTGGGGAACGGGAACTGTAAGTTACCTATAGACACGTTTTTCTGGGTCACCCTAAGAAAAAGTTTACAGCGGTTTAGGGCTTGAGAGAGAGAGGGCGAGATAAGATTGTCTGCATTGCACAATTCTAGGGCTAGCTATCTCTATCGCACGCACACGCCTACGCATTAAAATACGAATTTCATTGAGCAGTCGAAAACAGCTGATTCTGATTGTGCGTGTGATCTCTCCAAACACGCGCACCCACTCTCGCGCTCTCTCTCTCACTCCCCCTCTCTGTTGTGTTTGTTTGGCTGGAAAAGAGCGGCCACGCAACGGTAAAAAGGCGCTTGGGAAAGTGGAGCAGGTGACTAACACTTGCCCCATGGGAATGACGCTGCCGCCTGGGGAAATCGTACGATCGCAGGGCAAAGTGCGGCCCCGGATGACGCGTCATCGAGAGCGAGAGAGAGAGAATGAGGGTGCTTCCCCTGCTTTCCCCACCTGCTGCAAGTGCAGACTCAAAAATCATACGACAAGCATGACGTGGCGACGGCCAATTAATGGCGTCGTCTTGCCGGCTGCAAAGAGCAAAAACAACAACAACCAGGAGGAGGAAAATCGATAAGCCGCGACAGCGCAGCAGCTGTTTGCCGAGGTGGAGTAAACGGAGCAGGCGAGGGGCAAGGGGGCGGTGATTATGTAAACAAGCGCCTTGAGGAGCAAGAATCCAAAACGCACATTGCCCGAAAAGAATTCAAAAAGAGAGCTCTCTCTTTTTCTGCTCACGTCATCGGCTCTCCCATTGACCCGCATTGAAAAATCACAGCAATCCAAAATAGTTTCCACTTACTTTCCACTTTCTTCCAACTCGAAACGGAACGGTTCTTTCGTTTATCGATTGGTTCTTTTTGGTCTTCTCCTGGTTAAATCTTCGAACTCAAAGCGAAACTCGGCTTTCAGCTGGAATGACACACGCACGGAACTCGGAACACTCGTCACTCGGTTTGTTGAGTTAACAACTTTTGTTGTCGGCCGCAAACGCGATTTCGATTAATGCGAGGCGAACGAAATTTTTTTGTTGTGTCGGCAGTGTGACCGTGCCGAGAAGAACACCAACTGGCCTGAAAATAAATACCAGTTCTGTTTCGAAAAATACCATTTACATACCATTACATTTAAATATTGGCGGTATTCCCCAAGTTGATGAAATGAAAAAAGTCAAGGGGAACCACCCAAATAATCGTGGTTGCATAATACAAAAACCCGTTTAACAAATGCAATATTTTTATTATTGTTATTGTTGTTTTATTATTGATAAAAGAAAAGATATAATCATAATTCAAATTTGGTTGATAAGCGATATTTCAAATTAATTTTAGGGTTTAAATATGATTTCATAGTTTTTCCAAGCTTACAAGCTTTTCAATTTTGAGTTTAAGTACGATATATGTATTTGATTTATGTAATGAAAAATAGTTGTCTGGTAATTAGTAATATTTATTCTTAAATAACTAACAGATTTTCATGAAATTACCTGAAGATATTTTTTTTATAACTCAAAATGTATGCTTCTTTTACGACATGTTTCAATTTTACATTTTAAACAGAAAACATTCTTTTCAAATTTTTAATCCAATCTGCCTTTGGATTTGGTTTTTCATTTTCCTCTTGTTCTTCAGTCAAAGCTTGTGACTTATACTTTTTTAGTTCGCCTAACACATTACAGATAACACTGTGGTACCTTTCGAGGTCTGGTTCGTTTACGCAGCGAAACAAATTAACATTATCCGTAAACAGTTGACATAGATTTTCTTCCTCTAGGTGGCACTTAAATCTCTCTACAATGATGATCAACAGAACTCCAAGGTCAGTCGGCTCCTTGTCCTTCAGTATAGCATGTACCATTGTCGTTTCTACTACGTTTTTCAGTTTAGGAATTTTTATCGCTTTGGCAGATAGAAGGCCAGTCATCAATATCTGCACCTTTCGGTAGTAAGGATTCGTTTCAATACTGCAGCGCTCCCAGTCCGGCGCCCAAGCCATGAAACTTCGTTGATCGAAAGGTTTTATAGTTTGCGGAATTGCGTACCAAGGAAAAGCTTTATAAGTCTGTCCTGGCAATAACGGATCCGGCAAAGGCCATTTGCTGTAGTCGAATTTAACAACGGGCAACCATGTTAGTTTATAATTATGCTCGTCGCTAAGAAGTTGGTAAACATTTTTAAAATACATTTTTTCATAATAAAAGTCTAACATATTTTTAATCCAACTCCTAAGGGCTTCGCGATTTAGAAAACCATCCACAATAGCTTGATGCTCAGCCTTCTCTTCAGCTTTAAGCATTACAAAACCCGGCCGATCATTATCCCGGATTGGTGTTAGCTCAAACGGAAATTCCAAGTTGACATGAAACTCGTATTCATTTTCATCGATCTGCCTTAAAGACTCGAAGGAACAGCCTACATTAAATAGGGTTATTATGTGTATATAAATGACTTTCAGATGTACATACATGTACATACCCATTATTCCATGGCTAAAAATTACGCCTTTACAATTAAGTGCTCGCAGTACCAATGCTTTTAAGTCCCATACACCTTTTGGGATTGCATTTTGTTTAAGATTCTTGTCGATCAGATCCCCAACAATTTTATTTAATTCCGCAGAGAACGATTTGCAGGGAACGTCCGAGTCCGACATTGTACTTTTCGATTCGACAGCCAAATTTAAAATGATCCATTTCGTTCGTTTCGGTGAGAAGTCGGCTCGGCAGAATGCGAACGGAGCGTTTATATGGTATTCCCCTTATTCCGAAAAATTCTGCGCAGTTTGAAATTGTAAGCACTGGCCAGTGAGCATGGGTGTCGCTAAAGGGGTTTCCAGCGAATTCCCACTATCTACGATTTAAATTTCGTAATCATTTATACATAAGTACATTTTAAATCGAGTACTACATTTTAACAACCAAGATAATTATGATAGTAATATACTGTAATCCCCCTCGTAAAGTTTCTAGCTACACCTATGATAGAGCAAGAGCAGTCCAGGAAGATCGGTTTACTTTTTTTTTTCCTTTATAATTTCGAGCAGACGTTGACAAAAAAATGGGGTGTTTGAAAAGCACATTTCAATTCATAGGAAATATGTATAGTAATACATATGTATACAATGTATACATATGTAAATAACTTCAAAGTCAAAGTTAAGAAAAATTTTATGATTATAGCGACATTAAACTTATTAAAGTTTTTGTTTTTAAATTCCTCTATGATTTAGAAAAATTATTTAATTATATTACTGATGAAACTGTGATGTATGATACCGGAATGTATGGATATTTGGTTAATATAATTTTAAATTAAAATGTTTAATAAAGATTGTATATTTATTGACGCCAAGTGAATATTGTCAAATTCTGAAATTTCCTGTTAAATAACTAAAACACAATGCATTTTAAAATTATTTGCTTTTTTATGGCCCTTGAGGTAAGCCAGAAGAAATTAAGCTTCAGTCTAGGAACTTTGTGGTCCTTTGCAGTGCAATGGGGTATTTTGTATAGGCCTACGTTCTTTAATCCTTGAGGCGCACAATCGCAGGAGGGCGAAGTACGGAAACCAACCTCTGGTCCTGGACGAAAAACTCTCTGAAGAATGTAAAAAATATGCACAGGCAAGTGTTTTATACATAGCTTACACCCAGAAATGTACATAAATGTAGTTATTTACATATGTAGAAAGATGAAAGTCATGTAGAAATATTTTCGATATTATTTCATTAAATCCCTATCCCTTTCATTTTAATCAAGAAAAGCTTTAATTTATAAAACATTGTGGAGTGTGAAACATGGGTTTCTAACTATGTATTACTTAGCAATTAGTTGCGGATGGAGAAGGATGTACAGATGTCGATTCGGAGGACGAAATGCATTCGGATGAACTGCATGGACTGGGCCCAATTGATGGCAACTATACGCAAAACATCTGCGTTTTCCATGATGCTAAACCCAGGGCCTGCGTTCGAGATTGGTTCCATTATCGCGGCTATCGTAATAATAGAAAATATTACCAATTTACGGCCATGATTTGGAACGCCTCCACTAAACTGGGCGTTGGTCTGGCGAGAATGTAAGTCACCTGATCATTTTACCCTTATCCGGTTGATAGTGATAGGCGATCTCTCCGCAGAAAGGATACGCGTTACTTGGTGGTGAGGTATGCTCCACCTGGAAACATCCTTAAGGATATGCAGTTTAACGTACCAAAACGACTCACTCATTTTTGGGATAAATACGATGAGGCTATAAACGTTGACTATGATGATAATGGAAAACCCTCTACCACTACTGATCTTAACTCTGGATCGGAATTATATGCCAACTGGCTTTTGTTTATAACTTACATTTTAGTACATTTGTTTTCATCCTTATGGATTTTATGGATTACTTAAAAATAAAACCAATTTATCAAATTCATTAATGTCTTTTGCGTATTTATTGACTTTCAGTGTCTTAAGGTTTTATCTGCAAAACGTGTTTGGCTAAAAAATGTAATGTAAAAATAAAGCTTGATTATAACATAAACACCTTTGGGTAAATCTCATTTCACTCACTCTTTTAAAATACCAAATATATAGTAATATAATATACAATGCATAGTAAAAAAAACAAAGATTCTTTGGTAAATCAACTAAATCAAAAGCTACCGTTGAAATTGGAACTCAGGAGAATTGACTGACTGGATTCTGTTTCGGATTGGGAGACCTTATCTACTACGTTCCATCATATATAATGTAGATTTTTTGAACAACATTTTAGAATTCTTTATAGTAAACGTCTTAATTGCACAGTAAATGTCTTTAAAATTCGATTGCGTCGATGACAAGGAATTTTGTTCAACTTTGGCTTCAATGTTTCGTGTTCCCCACTCTTCAAAACGTTCAGCGTTTGACTTGGTTTTCTTGGCAAGCTGTCTGGTTGAATGGCAAGTGGCTAGGCTTGGGATTACAATTAGAATTAGGTGTGTAAGAGTAATTGTGGGGGGGAGGGAAAATGTGCTCCTCCGCTTCCAATATTAAAAGCTAACAACGAATTCGAGAGTTCCGAGATTCCTCAAGAGCATATGTATGTGAGTATTCTCTAGGTCACTGGTTGCAAAATGTCCGTGGGTGAGGTGTATGATGAGTATTGCAGTGGGTCCATCACTCAGCACTGCGATGGAATGCGAATGCCCTGGGTGATCGAGTTCTCCAGCACGATGTGGCAGTCGTCCAGCGGCTCGAGGATTTGGATGAGAAAGGTGAGTAGGTTGCGGCGCCGCAGGAAGCTCTCCTCCTCGTACATCTCGTGCGTGACCTTGGTCAGGGCCATTGGCTTGATTAGCCGCGTCAGCAGATGTTCGCGCAAGCTCAGGCAGATCAGCAGCTGGAACTTTCCGTCCTTGCCCAGCGCCGTTCCGTTGATCTCGTCCATCAGCTGAACGTACAGTCGCCAAATGCTGGAGATCTCCCGGCGCTGCAAGCTATTTCCGCCGCCTCCGCTTCCATTGCTGAACGAGGAGTCCAGGCTAGAAGCCGAGTCCTCCAGTTCCAGCTGAAGATTCTGCTCAAACAGCTCCTTGATCTTGGCTGTAAAAGAATTTATAAGCATTATTTACTAATAAATTTAACAAGAGTATTCTTTCGCCTTACTAAAATAATCCCAGATGTACAGATTGCGTCCAAAGAACCTTGCCGAGCGGAAGCCGCAGAGGAAGACCTGCTCCAAGCACTTAACCAGTCCATCATCCCCGCACAGCAGGTTGGTCAGCGTGCCCACATCCCGATCCCGACTGGGTTTGTAGTGCCACTTGACCAGCACATTGACGCAGTTGCCCAGCTGGTGCTGAATCTCCGAGGGCGCCAGTGACTCCTGGCGCTGAACGCTGGGACTTCGCGTCCTGGGCGGCGTGCGAGTATCCGATCCTGGGACCAGTTCGGCATTCTTAACGCTCGTCGAAACCCGTTGGCCCACCAACAGGCGCTCCGTGGAGTCGTCATCCACGCCACGACCCAACCAGCGGCCACAGGGGAATCTTTTAAAAAAAGGAAAATAAGTATTACGTTACTTTTGGTCACTTTTGTCCCTCTTGCTAGTTTAGCTCACTTGTAGGTGTGGCCGGTGACCTCATTGCGCATCACCACCTGCTCCACGAGCCACTTGTGGCTGGGTCCCGAGTTGTCGTGTCCAATGCGCATGGTTGTCAGTAGGCCAAGGTTCTTGTACTGCGAAAAGGAAGGGCCTTGGATTAGTTGCTATGAAGAGCTATGGGTAGGGAGCAGACCAACTTACATGAAAGATAAACTCCAGGGATCCCTTGGGCACAGGAACCCTCTGAGTCTCATTCATGGTGCCCGAGACCATGATCCACACATTGCTGGAGGTGTGATAGGAGCCGTACTTGCGGGAGGGGAAGATCACGACGCGGTAGGGTAGCTCTGTGGGTGGGTAAGGGAAACGACCAATAATCAGGGGAAAAACCAAGGACCACTAGCAAGACCTACTCGTTGTGGGGTAGATGTTGGTAAAGCTGAAGTAATCGACCGTATTTAAAGTGAGCAGGTGGTAGAGAAACTGCTCCTTCTCCTCCTCGCAGCGCAGGAAGGCCGAACGCTTGTAGAGCGAACGCAGCAGAGATTCGTCAGAGAGCAGAGTGCGAAAATGCCGCGAAAGCAGCTTCTTCTCAAGGGACAAACGCACCCAGGCGCGGGTGTAGCCAATATGAGTCTTTATGTCCGCCATGGCCAGAACATTTCTAGGAGAAGTTAGTTATTAATTGGAGTTTTAAAGGAGCTACTTTTCTACCCACTTCACATCGAACTCCAGGGACTCGGGCAGAGGACACAGCTGCTCCAGACCCACGAATTTGTTACGATCCCGCGAACGACTGCGATTTGGACTGGGCGGACTGTCGAAGTCCGTTTGGAATGTGGAGAGATCTAAAATACATATTTTTTTATAAAGGAAATGGTAAGTAAACCAAGCTCCTCTTACAATCCATTCGCTTTCGCATGGCATTCCAGGCCATCGCTGGCGAGGCTGTGGCAATGGTCATCTTGCTGCCTGGACTGCTGGACACCGGCGCCGTTTGCTCCGCTCCCGAATTGTCGCCAGCTCCGCGCGCCTCCTGCATTTCGAGGTAGGCTTGCAGATGGGCCCACAACGCGGACTTGCCCTGCTTGTTCTGCAGGCCATGCGACCAGATCTTCTCCAGCAGATCGCACATGCTGGCTATCAGGGTGTTCTCCTCAATGCCATCGCCCTTCAGACCCAAAGCCACCGCCTCATTGCCCATCTTTTCGAGCAGCATGCGCTTGGTCTTCGATTTAATGTCCTGTAATGATCATAAATATTAGAAAAGTGATTTTTATAAGGTAAAGAAATAGAGCCCTGCATGAATGGATTCAATGAATTATTATGAATTTTTTTTTATGTGAATGAATTAATTAGAATTTTGTTTAATAGAATTGAATGAATGAATGCTTGAATTCCGAAATAATTCAAACGACAATTTCTTTTGAAGAAGAAAGGGCCATAATTTTGTGATTAAATCTGCATGAATTTGTTGTTCTGAGCAGTTTACATTGATTTGTTAAAAATTTTCCACTTTTTGTTCTCAAAAGAAAGAAAAAAAATCTGACAAATTCAAAAAATTCATAAAATTTATTCATTCAATTCGAAATAAATTAGAAAACATTCAATTTGTTTTATTTAGAATTGAATTATAAAAACAAAAATTGAATGATTCACGCAGGGCTCTATTAAGAATTAAAGTTTCACCTTCAGGAGACGCTCCACAAACGTCCAGTTGGCCTGGGCTATCAGCGCTGGACTCACATCCGCTGTGGTCAGGTTCGCAGAGAGTCGATTGATGGCATTGGAGTTGGGCTTCTGGTCGAGCGAGATCTCCCTGGCCCGCCACTTGTTGCCGTTCTTCACCCGCCGCAGGCTGTTGCCTCTGTTGGGGATTCGGATGCGGTTGCGGAATCGGTTTGGGTTTGGGTTGATGGAGTGGTTAGCGCGGATGAGTTTGAAGTATCGGTTTTTTATAGTTTAGTTTGAATTTCGAACGAGAACAAAGAGACAGCGGATTAGTGGGGATTCCGAAGGGGGCTGGAGGATGGTGGATTGGTGTTCAGGTGACCTTTGGGTGAAGGAGGAGCAGGCGGTGAGCTGTGGGTGGTGTGTGCATGCGGTGCAATTTACGGCGATTGGGGAAGGGGAAAACGGAACAAAACAAAACGAAAAGAAGAGTCTCGGTTAACGATTGGAGAATGCAGAATTTATTGTTAAGTGGTATGCACACTAAGAGAACAAAATACGAGTAGAAATAAAGATCCAGTGTAAAACGCGCTACTTGATTCGATTTTATCCAATTTGAGCTAACAAAGGTACATGAAATACAGCTACGTACAACTAACTATGGTATCTATATATGTATAATTAACATTTAGGTAATATCAAACGTTCGGTCAGCCTTTCTCAAAGGCAAAGGTACAATTCTGTCCTGATTTATCTAAGGACCCTTGTTATTTAGGATGAGTGCGGGGGGTTAAAAGGTTGAGGGGTAGGTAGGTGTTCGATCTTAAAGCAGGACGTGCTCTACTAGACTAACTATACAAGAAGATGGGGAACTGAACTAGGGCAACTACCTCGAGGCGCACTCCTGGTTGAGCACGCCCTTCTCGAGCAGCGGAAAGCTGCGGAAGTAGGCCGCCCGGTTGGCCAGAATCTCGCTGGGCGGCGTCACCTCGATGTCGATGCAGTTCAGACGCTTCTCGAATCCCTGCTGCGAGTCCTGGCTGAGCACACAGGGCTCATAGCTGGTGGCAGCGATCATGTTCTCCCCGTGTCGTCGCCTGAAATGGATTTTAATAACATTAAAACTCTGTTTATAAGGATTTATAAATTTATAAGGAAACGTTTTATAGTGAGCTTCCAAATAATCTGAATATATCTATAAAAGCTATCTATATAGTTTTAAAAAAACCGTATGATACCATGATATGGATTAAAATAATATTATAACTCTATTTATAAGGATTTATTAGTTTATAAGAAAACATTTTATAGTGGGGTTCCAAATCATCAGCATATATCTATAATAGCTATCTATATAATTCTAAAAAAACCGTATGATACCATGAGAAATCTATCAAAAGTAAGTATGTTTTAAAAATTTTATACTATGTATTTTATAAAAATTGTCATTGTTTTTATCGCTGTGATTTTAATTATTGAGGATGTGGATCCAAATGGAACTGTTCAGTACTCCACCAACAAGACAAATTCATCCCTCGAGGAGGTTAAACGACCCAAGAGAGAGTAAGTATTTGATCAGTACTAAAACTTATCACATTTAGTTTTTGGAAATCCATAGCTAGCTACGACCTCAAAAAAGGAGGTAGAGGAG